AGCGCCGCGCGCAGCTAATAGTCTGTCAGCCATATCGCGTATAGCTGCGTAGGTAGGCGAAAATCCACGTAGATCTAGATCTAGAATATGATCAACTATCACCTCCTCTTCTAGCTTGGTAAGCTTCTTTGAGTTAGGCTGGCAATCGCGTCTGGCGCGCTTCCCAGCGCGTCGATCGCGTAACGTTGATTCAGGCACGTTAAAGATTGAAGCTGCACGCCGGCCTGTTTGGATTTGATGAGAATCAAGAGATTGTATAGCAAGCTGAATATCTAATTCATTTGAGAGTAATTGAATAGCGTGGCGTGGAGCCATAATAGAGGTACGTGTAACGGAGTAAGAAAGTTGGTGGGGTGCGCGACTCGCTTGCCTGCGCGACTCGCTTATCCACTACGTTATATCTAGCATTTATGATATATGCATTTTAAGACACGCCTAGAGCTGTAGCCCCTCGTCCCAGGGTCTAAACGATTAATGCTCATAATCTGGCATGCATTTGACGTTTTTCGGCGGCGAAGTATCCCAATGAATTGCAATATCACCACGTTCGTTTTCCACATGTTTGGAAACATATCCCTCGAGCTGCTTGATCTTTTTCGCCGCCTCATCGCTATACTCCACGTTGACAGTGGGCACGACGGCAGTCCTTCCATAGCCATGGAACCACATATCTTTGGCAAACAGATTTGGCTCCCCTTGGAAACACTCTCCCTCTTTATGCGCTCGAAAGATTATCTTCTTCTCCATGAGCGGCTTTGCTGTAAACGCCGTCACGCCGTTCCAGCATGCGAATACCTGGAACGGTCTCCAAGTATAGAGCCGCATTCGCGTCTTTTGGTCGTTCCAGAATAGATTCCATGCGTTGTCCCAGCTTCCATCTTCTGGGATGTTGAAAAACAAATCACCAGTCATACCTCGAGCGATCCAGACGTCATAGAAGGTTGGGTTTTCCCCAACATACGTCCAGTCCATGGCACATGTTTGGTCAGCTCCCAGGAACTTACGCTGGTGAATTAGTTCCAGGAAGTCCTCCATACATAGTGCAATGTCATTGGAAAATATAACAGTCGTATCCTTGTCATATTGCTCAGGATATGCAATGAGGTCCTCCAATGCTAGGTTTCGTAGTTTCGCAAGGGATTCAATTCTATCCGTGCCTGTGGCTGTGGGGTTGAGATTGCTTGATTGTAGTTGGTATCTGATCCCCAGGAGTTCCATGCTGGAACGCAGTTCGTCAAGCACTTCGATGGTGCCATCATCTGATCTCCCCTCCACAATCGATAGCACGCAGTTTTGGGGACCAAGAAAACGTATGGATTCCACGATTGAACCAATTAATCGAGGAAGAATATCGATAGATTGGTGCAAATCGAGAGCGAAGACATATTTCGGCAGTTGGTCAAGAGCGGATGACTCTGTCAAGTCTCTCAAGTAGTTATAACGCTCTAGCTTTGGTTGTGGGCATTCGAGACGTGAAAATGCCGAATCTGATGGATCCATAATCGCATGAATATAAGGATTTGTCTGCGCCTGAATGTCGTTCTTGCTTTCTTCCAAAGATGGTGAAGAAGATGAGGAAGTTGAAAATTTTTCCAGTGAAGATCCAACCTCTGCTTCATCATATGTTTCTTTTCCTGTCTTTGGAACAAGTTCTTGAGGATCTAGTCTCACACCCGCTGTACTGGAATAGACAAGTACAGTAAAACTATATTCAATCGCGGATAAGATATCACGGGAGTGAGAAGGTGCAAGTTCTGCAATAAGAAAGAACACGAAAATTAGTGATGCCAAAACGCGTAGTAGCATTCGCATGCCTCGATATGCACCCATAGGGAAAGTAGCTTGTTCAGAGAGCCAAATAATCGATGGCCAGAATTAATACATGTTCACCCATCCAGCTTACAGTCGCAACCAAACTCATTACTTTTCTAGAGAGGCTTCTGCAGGTGGAAATGCGACGGATTTAGGATGCGTATCAACCAAGCTATCATAATCGAATGAACTCCACCCAGGTTGTCTATAACTATCGTCAGGAAAGGAAATTGGAAAGTTAGTCATAGTACCATGTAAGATGTGCTATTATCTAGCACCATACGAACTGTAATGAGGCTGAATAAAGATATCAGATAATTGAATTAAGATGACTCTTCTCACACACTTCGTTAAAACGAATATCCAAATTGTATTGAAATGGCTGGTATTTTGAGTACGGGAAACCCCACCCTCCAAGAGATGCATCGGAAGGTAGATCATGGTTCGCAAGCTAATATCGGTATAGCAGATAAAAATGACGTTCTTCAGCCCATTCAATGCCTCGCACGTCTAAATTACGCTGCTGAGCGGGATCCGCTTCCTCTTCTAATTTACCAATATAGTAATCAAAAATCACGGTACATATCCCACGTAGGGTTCCATCACGTATTGGCAATTCTGTGCATGGCTCATCTCCTCTATTGTGGCCAAAGTTTGGAACTAGTAAAATGCTGCCTGGAGGCATCAAGTAGGTATTCTTTCTGATAACGTATCTGTATAGCGAGTGACCGGGTATAGCGAGTGACTGGACATGCCAAGACCCCACCAACTTCGACTACTACATGACTATTACACGCGATGTCTCAACACAATACTATACGAAAGTCTTTAAACGAATCTCAAATACAGCTTGCATTACAGGCTATTAAACGTGACGCGACAATCTCAATTCCACGCGCTGCAGCCATCTACAACGTATCTGAAAGTACACTAAGGCGAAGACGCGCAGGAAAGCTCTCTAGACAAGATTGCTTGCCTAACTCAATGAAGCTGCTTGTAACAGAAGAGGAGACGATTGTCGACTATATTCTCGACCTTGACGCTCGAGGATATCCACTGCGCCTTCCTGCTGTCAAAGATCTAGCTGATTCTTTGCTGGCTGCCCGCCACCGCGACCCTGTTGGCCCAAACTGGCCTAAAGCATTCATAAAGCGTCGCCCGGAGCTCAAAATAAAGTTTAATCGAAAGTACGACTATAGGAGAGCCCTCTGTGAAGATCCTGAGCTTGTGCAGGGTTGGTTCCGCCTAGTACAGAATACTAAAGCCAAGTATGGGGTCCAGGACGACGACATATACAACTTCGATGAGACAGGCTTCATGATGGGCATGCATAACGCGTCAGCAGTAGTTACAGCCTCTGAGCGTCGATCAAAGCCGAAATCCTTGCAGCAGGGTAACCGGGAGTGGGTTACCAGCGTGGTTTGTGTCAGCGCAGCTGGCTGGGCGATCCCACCCTTTATCATCTTTCAAGGCAAGCACCACCTCTCTGCCTGGTATAAAGAGGATAGCCTGCCTAGAGACTGGCTTATTGGGGTCTCTGAGAACGACTGGACGACGAATGAGCTTGGCCTAAAGTGGCTGGAGCACTTTGACAAGCATACAAAAGAGCGTACGATTGGGGCCTATCGTCTACTTATCCTTGACGGTCATGAGAGCCACGACTCGCTTGAGTTCCAGCAATACTGCAAGGAGGCAAAGATTATCGCTCTCTGTATGCCTCCCCACTCCTCTCATCTGCTACAACCGCTTGATGTGGGCTGTTTCTCGCCTTTGAAGAGGGCGTATGGCCGCCAAGCCGAGGAGATGATACGCAATGGGATCAACCATATAACTAAGATTGAGTTCCTCCCAGCCTTCCAGCAGGCCTACGGTAAGACGATTACAAAGGATAATATCCTAGGAGGGTTTCGAGGCTCTGGCTTAGTTCCACACGACTCAGAGGTGGTGATATCGAAACTTGACGTCAAGCTGCGTACGCCAACACCACCTGCTGTAGAAGATCTGCCCTGGCTATCACAAACCCCAAGTAATACCCTAGAACTAGGGTCGCAATCGATGCTAGTGAAGCAGAGGATTCAGAGGCATATAGACAGTTCACCATCAAGTATGGTAGTTGCCTTTGAAAAGCTAGCCAAAGGCGCTGCGATTATCGCGCAGAAGCTGGTGTTAGCGCAAAAACGTGTCTCTGAACTTGAAGCAGCTAATGAAGCCGCCACGCGACGAAGATCGTATAAAAGAAAGCGATTGCAGAGAGAGGGGACTCTAATAGTTAAAGAGGGAGAGCAATTAGCTGCTCTAAAAGAGTCTGGCGTGCGTGGTAATAGGAAGAAGGCAAAGAAGAGAGCGCGCGCTGAGGTAGGCGAGCCGTCGCAAAGACACTGTAAACGCTGTGGTAAGGCAGGGCATAATACGCGCACGTGCAAGCAAGTAGAAGCGATAGATTCTAAATAGAATGGCCTACTACAATTTTAATTTACTACTATAGCTGCGTTGCAATAGTCTGTATTCGTCGTGATGTTTGGTGGGGTCTTGGCATGTCCGGTCACTCGCTATACCCGGTCACTCGCTATACAGATACGTTAATTGATTAGTTATGTATTAGTCGACCAACCGACTAACTAATTAGTCACAGCCTTTTTCGTCACATAGAGATAGACGGTATTCCTTTTTCAAGAATATGTAACTCAATAACATCCAACTGGCAATTGTGCTGAATATGATTAACTAGCTAGACACTTATAGCAAGGCCCTTAGAAAGGTAGCTAGTTGTCAGAAATAAGGCTTCAGTTGAGGCCCATGCATGAGGCCAAGGAAACAAAAGAAAAGAAAAAGCCACAAAAAGGCGACACCTCAGAAGATAGCATGAATGAACACCTTTTTTGACCCCATGATTGAAGACCCATCAAATCTGACACTAGTATATCGTGAACTTAATTGCAATGCAGCCACAATTGTCTGTAGATTGAACAGTTGCTTTTCTCTATTGCCATCAGTATTAACTATATAATCACGATTAGTTCACTAAAGCCTATATCTACTTATGTTGTAGAAACCGACTAAGTTAACTCAATGATGGATCGATTTTAAGCTGTGATGGATCAAAACTGGAAAGATGGATCAAAACCTGGGGTGAGCGCTCAAGTCGGAAACCGAGCGCTATCATCGGCAACAGTAAATAGTCCAGCACCTCAGAGCTCTAAGAGAGCAGAGAGAATCTGATCAATTCTCTCACCCCAATAATCTTATCAGGATCTCGCACCTCCAACAACTTATGTATCATGCTGTTACGAACAGGAGGGACTCCTCTCCGCAGGTTCCTATGAAAGGTTGCGGAGTCAACCCAAGGGAAACAAAGGCGTCAAAGGACGCCCGGGAAGTGATCAGCGCGGGGTGCGCAGATCACGTGACGTGCCATCCCGCCAAGACAGGACATCCCGCCAAGCATGGGATGGCCACAGGATCTGGGATGGCTGACCATCCCAAACATCCCGCCAAGACATGGAAAGATGGGATGGACAGGATGGCAGGACGGTAGCAGCGAGGATATAAGGATGGATGGATTTCATCATTACTCTCGTTGTGGTCAACTCATAATAGTTCATCTCTTACACAGATTGATACTAGTTATTCTATCTTAACTAGTATAGAATTGATTGATTATCTTTTGGTTAAATCCTATAACTCTTTTCCACACGGTACTACGACAATCGCACGGCTTACCGCTTAAGTCTACTCGCCCTAACCCGGACCGAGATCAGAGAAGTATAGCCCAACCCCGTGTAACACATGCTAACAGAACTAGGCTTACTCTAGAAGCCATAGTCTAATAACGTGTTTCATTCCAATACGTGTTTTTCTGGAAAGCTATTCAGTCACCCTAATTTGTGTCCAGTACTTTTTTTTCGCAGATGTAACGGATTGGACTCGACTGAATACTATGCCAAGGGTCATGCCGGGTGTAACGAGATTGTATTCGATAGAGGGCAATAAATATCTACTCACGAGCTTATACCTAAGTGCCGATCGGAGAAACATGTTCTCCCGTTGATCTAAGCGTTCTGTCTGAGCGCTGGGTCCGAATTCGGTTCGGGTCGGCAGAATTCGGGTGTTAGGACCTACACATGGATTTTGTGATCGCGCACTGAGATATTATCGGGGAGCTCTACTAAAGGACGTCTAGCCCGTTGAAGCAGAACGTTTATCCCTACCGCCTACGATCAACCCCTAGTTACTGTAATCTATGAATAAAAATCTTCTTACCTAGCTGTGGCAACGATTAAGACGGCCAACATATGTAGGACGTTTGAAACATGGTGGACCGTACAACTACTCGGGCACACTACAATTATGCTTACGGTGTAAGCACAGACGATAATCTCACTATAAAAAAGGGTATAACTAAAGGATATCTTATTGTTGATATTGTATCCTAGTTCTCCTTTCAGCAACATCGACGGGAAGTTTAGAGTTCAGATTGTTCGCAACTGCGCCAGTGCAATAGGCCTGCTGCCTCCGTGCCTTCCTATCACTAACTATTTCAGTATTATTACAAATTATCAAACATTGTATTTGCTAGCTTCATTGGGATACGTAGAAATATCAGTGATTGCCCTCGCGCTTTTAAAATGGGCGCCACAGCAACCATAAGTGCAGGTTCTGCCCTGGACAATGCCTGCGAAGAGAGATTGGAAGACCGCTTTTGCGGCACGGGGGGATTTGCGTGACCTAGGGAGGGACATTAGTCATGTAGTATTCAAGGAACACTGCGTTGTTACTTCTCTCAGCATCATAACCTCGGGTAGTAACATCAATCGTTATCCATAGCCGCCTTAAGATGTGCTTCAGTGAATGGGTTTTGTGCCACAGCCAGTAGATCTTTGATTGCATTGGCTCTTTCGTTGTCTGTGTTGGTTACTTGTCGACTTTGTTTTGCTGCGCCAGCAACCATATTTTGAAGATCCAGTAACTAGTGGAACTTGCTTGGCACTTATAGTTCTGTACAGATGAAACCATTCTGCGCTGTGTGTGATGTTGTGAATCGCGCACCCCTGTTGTTCGTGATCCGCCCCACATCCCCATCCTCCTTCAAAGAGGACTGGATACAGGGATTTGTATACGCTTTCTGTGTCTTTGACGATACGCTCTGGGTTGGCTTCTTCCCATAATGACCAATCAATCAAAACTACATCAGGCATCAATGGCGTCTGTCTACCTGGATAGCGAAGCATGAAATTCTCGCGATTAACATCTGCATGTACAATACAGCACTTCTTATGAAGAAAAAGGCATGCGTTAGTGACTTGGTCAACCATGTGGAACGCCAGCTCCTCGGAGAGAGGTTGTTGCTTTGCCTTACTAGCTAAATAGAGTTTCTCCAGTGTCAAACCAGACATTACAGGCTCCATACTGTACCATGGTGTCTCCGATATGCTGTAACTCAACATCTTGACAAAGTTATAGTGGACGTTCTCTTCCATGTAGGTCCAAACCTTCTTCATAGCTTTGATGTCCTTTACTATGTAGCTAGCACTAGCTTTGATACCAGACGGGCACAGCGGGTTGCAGGTCTTTACGGCCTGTATCTTCTGTAGGCCCCCTGCACTGTCGTATTTAGACGGATCACTTGCTAAATTAGACTGCTCGATCAAGAAGTCGGATTTTAGAATAGTATAAAAGACAATGCCAAAAAATCCCATGCCAGCAGTGTTCAGAAGCTCAGAAAAGAGAGGTACTTCATCCTCAGAAAACAACGTTTCTATTCACGCGTTGTTTCTATACTTTGTTCATAGATATTGTTATTATTATTATTATTCTAGTTTAACGTCCTGTGTCAGCCGGTGGGCTATATAAGACGTGCAGGCTAGGCCTGCAAGTATCTATGTAGTGCTATCAATTTGGTGTAGGTGGGGGAGGGGGCTGTCTAAATCGAGGTGAGGCTCGTAGCCTAGTGCAAAGGGAGGTAGGAGGGGGTCTTGTGGGTAGAAGTGAGGGGTAGGGTAGGTGTAGGGCAAGGGCACCTAGTATAGGTGTTGCTCTAGTTCTCAAGGTTTCCTTTGTACCAGGCCTGTGTTGCAGCCCTAGTTTCCTTAATGAAGGCGATAGTAGCCTGTATGCCTATGCTCGTATTTAGGAGGAAGGCTAGCGATAGAGGGTCCTTGCTAGTCTTTTGCATCTTCGTCCTAGCCTCGTTATATAGCGCGCAGCTAAGGAGGATATGTGCAGCGTCTTGCGTAGCTCTATAGTTGCAGGGGCAAACTTTAGAGTCTACTTTGCCTCGCTTAAAGAGAAAGTCTCTTAGATAGTAGTGTCCTAACTTAAGCTGAAAGAAGGTGCTAGAGACTTCTCTGCTAGTAGGAGGAGTAGCAATCTGCTTCCTAGTCTTCCACTTATACCTTGCGGCGTAAGTAGTAGGATTTAAAGTAATAGCTTTCCTCCTATATTGTCCTAGGTAGCTGAGCCACTCTCGCTCGCCTAGCTGTTTGATTCGTGTGCCTATAACTGCTAGACTCGTCCTACTAGAGCTAGGATCTAGTTTTGTCGCCTCTTTTGCAAGCGCGTCTGCTTTCTCGTTTCCTATAACGTCTTGATGGCCGGGTACCCAGCAGATCGTGGGTGCTAAGCCTTTCTTTCGAAGTTTCTTAGCTGCCCTAATACATCTAAATTGCCACTCTTGTCCAGCGTTGTCTAAAGCAGTCTTTAGTCTAAGTATTGCAGCCTGGTTGTCTGCGTACACTCTGACTTCTAGACAGTCGTCTACTAGGTCGATAGCTTTCTCTAGCCCTAGGGTAATACCTTCTAGTTCTCCGTTGTAGACTAGCTGGTTGTTTCCTATGTTGACCTTTTCTTGAGCTATAAGGCTAGCTCCTTGGTAGAAAGCTACTCCTACTCCTATACCCTTGCCTTTGCTTGTGGCTGAGGCGTCTGAGTAGATAGATAGGAGGAATTTGTCTTCTGATAGCTCCTTGTGGTGTTTTGCTTCGATTTCTTTAGACTTCTTAGATATATTCGTCTTATAGGGCATCTCCGAACTCCATGGCATAGAGGCGTAGTGCTGGATCTTCTCACTATCGTCCGATAGTGCTGTTGAGATAGATCTAGTGATACGCTCTAGCTGCTTTCCTTGATTGCTAACGATAGCAATATTAAGAGGGTGGCTAGGAGCTAGTTTTCTTGCTCTAAAGGCGTATTGTCGGAGGGCGTTATTTAGCCTAACCCTAGGAGGATATAGAGCTGCTTCTACCTCGCTAGGTACGCTAGGCGAGGTTCTAAAGGATCCTAGGATCTTTCTACAGGCTTGGTTCTGTAGCTTCTGTCTCTGGCTAAGTGTTGTCTGCTGCTCCTTCCAGAAGATTTGGCAGCCATAGTCGGCTACGCTCGTGATACAGGCTAGGTAGAGCTGTCGTACTGCTCTAGGCGAAAGGCCTTTGTTCGAGTTTGCTAGCCTGCTAAGGCGGTAAAAGGCTGCACTAGCCTGCTGGTTTCTAATAAGGCTATGGTGCTTGAACTTTAGGCTACTATCAAAGTAGACGCCTAGCCATCTTACAAGCTCCTTAGACTTTACTATTTCCTGATTAGGTAGAGTAATTACTTTATCTTGATCTTTTCTCGATCTTGTCCAGTTTACTAGTTCAGTCTTTGAGCTATCGAATTGGATAGCTAACTCCTCTGCTAGTCTAAAGAGACTTTGGATCTCTTTTTCTAGTAGCTTAATATTTTTCCTTACTGACGTAGACGATATCGAGATCTGGAGATCGTCTATATAAGAGGAGGAGTAGATATTCGCGCTAGTCTGAATCGCCTCAAATAGCGGCTTTGCGTATATCAGAAATAGAATAGGCGAGGCTGGGCTTCCTTGAGGGGTTCCTGTCGAGATCTCCTGCGGCTCTTCAGTCTGTCCGTCAAAGGACAGCTGTAGTGCTCTATCCTCTAAAAAGGACTTTGTCCAGGCTAGTAGACAACAGGGCAGGCCTTGATCTCTCATGCCTTTAAGAAGCTTGTTTTTTGAGACGTGATCGAAGGCTCCTTTAATATCAAGAAAGATAGTAGTCGTAATCTTCTGCTTTCTTTTCTGCTGTTGTATATTGTTATAGAAGAGTAGCGCAGCGTCTATAGCGGATTTCTTTAGTCTTCCTCCTAGTTGAGAGGGGTGGAGTAGATCTGTTGTTTCCGCTAGTGCGCCTAGTCTTCTAGCTACTAGCCTTTCAAGGACTTTACCTAGGCAGTTAAGGAGTGAGATTACCCTATAGGCCTTTGGGATTGAGTAGTCAGGCTTGCTTGGTTTTTTTAAGATAACTCCCTTTGCTTTTCTCCAGCACCTTGGGTGGTAGCCTATATTGGAAAGAGTAGAGTATATCTTGAGTAGAGTTTCTGGCTGCGCTAAGTATGCCTTCTGGATCACCTCCTGGCTAATCAGATCAGGCCCTGGTGAGGTGGCCTTCACCTTACAGCAGGCAAAGTGGAGTTCCTCCTTGGTTAGGGCAGGCCAGGTCCACCTACTGTCTCCCTTGTAGGTGTAGAAGGAGGGGGTAGCTGTCGTAGGAGGCGGAGGGAAGAGATCCTCTCTAAAGGCCTTGCATTTCTCAGTAAAAGATTCCTTGCCTTTAATAGCAGGTATTCTAGTACTAAGGTTATCTTTCGTATATGCTAGCGCTTTAAAGATCTCCTTTGGCGAGTCTTTTTGAAGGAAAGCCTCCCAGTGGCTCTGTTTGGCTTTTCGAATAGCTTTTAAATATCTATTTTTCGTACGTAGATACTCTCTTTTCCACTGGTAGAGGGAGCTATTGTTCTCCTTGTCTGCCTCTCTCTTATAGTCCCTATGGGCTTTGCCTAGATCTCGCTTTTGGCTATCTAGCTCGCTTGTCCACCAGGGCTTTGACTTTGGCTTCTGGTTGACTAGCGGTTTGTTCATAGATAGATCATATATTTACCTTCTTCTAGTAGTGTAGACACCTCTCCTTACAAAAAATACGCTATTGTTGTTGAATCCGCGCTAATCCGCGAAAGACACCTTTTCTAGACATAGGCAGCGACACCGCCGTAGATAGCCTTATTTACGTCCTATTACACTCTCATACTAACGAATAAAGCTGTATACACTAAAGCAACCTTGAGCCATACTGAGAAGCCAACCTCAGCCCTTCATGTGGTGTGGCGCTCATATTCATGCGTGATCGCCACCCCTGTCGGTACTTCCCCAGCAAGCAGCTTCCGCATCTGGCTAGTACAAGGCTGTCTAATACGGCGTAATCTTCTCTGCGCCAAGCTTGTGGCTTCGAAGCCTGTCAGCAAATTGGAGATCACGTGAAACGCACGTACGTCTTGCGCACGAACCATCGAAGATGCCAAGCCTGGTGCCTACATAAAGCCTTGCCTCGCACGTTGTTTCGCTTTCAGTCTCTTTTCATTCAATTCCACTACAAATATATCATATCATGGATAAAGAAGGTACTCTATGTTTGGTGCGCTTGCGAAGATCGGTCGCCTAAGCTACTTAATATATCCGTAGCAAGATTGAGAGAACTGGCTCCGTATTACAAGATCTGCAAGGCATTGCTGTCGACCTTGAACAGCGTGACCAAATCCGCATACGAACATAAGCCAAACCAGTACTACAGCCGCACAGATGGTATCTTCCTCGTAGAGATCGAAATCGTCGACAATTCCGACCTCCTTCTCCATCTTTTTACGCCGTTTGGGCGATTTCAGACGTTTCATAGTGGTACCTCTCTTGGAGATGAGCTAGCAATGTCGTTCGAGTTCTTAAAAAAAAGGACTGTCTCTTGAAGATGTGACAACGAAGGTGGTAGTCAAGGACGGGGATTACGAAAGGAAGCATTCCAAAATGAAGTATTCCAAGGAGTTTGGACGCGAGCGAACCCGGCTGTATCTTATCACAGCAATCCCCAACGTTCCTTTCGAGTTGACAGAAGGTAAAGAACTTGCTTATCGATATAGAGACTTGGATGACGAACACATCCTTTTTCAAGACGTTGAAAAGTATGTATTGCGAGCAAGTTCTTAGCGAAGAGTCTGTAAAGCATTTAGGAAATTATCTTTTGTAACCAGTCAGCTTTGGCTTTATAACAACAATATCTCTCGTATTACAGTAACGCTTCGTTAGCCTGATAGCATATACCAATCTCCGTACCAATGAATTAGTACATTTTTGCAACAGGTGCCCCCCATAACGGTCCTCTCTCTGGCTGACGCAGCCCAGGCATGTTGTCAGCTCGCACTGGAGCGTCACCCTCTTCACCTTGCATATTCGCACCTGCTACTTCTGCCACCTCTCCTACAGTTATTGCAGCAGAGTTCTTAGGCTTACGCCCTCGTTTCTTGGGAACCTTAGCAGCTGACGCTTTCTCCTCTTTCTCAGCACGCTTGGCTCGTGCCTCCTCAAGGTCCTCGAAGCTCATCACCTTCGCCTTCCCTAAGATAATAGACCTGGTCGATCGCCGAACTTGAGCCTCCTTGTTGACCTTCGTCAAAAACTCATTTTGATCTTGAAGAAGCGTCTGCTTTGCAAGGGATATCTGCGCTGCACTCGCGAGCTTCTGCACGTACTTCTGCAGGCGTCGCTCGTCCATTGCATACGCATCTTGTTTGATTAAGTTATGTAAAGACATTACAGCCTCTGTCGTTACTGGCGTTATAGGGGTTACAGGTGCTTGCACTACTTGTTGGTCTTGTGTACAAGCAAGCACGTCTGGAGAAGCTGTCTCAGAGGGCGGTTTTGGTGTCTTTCGAAGGACTCTTTCTGGGTTGAATGGGTACAAACCACTTGCGGCCCATGCGGCAGTGATATTCCTCTTCGTCATCGCCGTTTCTCTAGCGGGTTTATATACAGAAGTAAAGTGCTCCTTGCTAACGGCTTCCAGCCCTCCTCGACAGAGCCGCTCTACCTCGTCACGATAGGCTGTCTTGAGAGGGCCGAAGACCCCAACATCGCAAGGCTGTAGCTTATGTGAGGTATGAGACGGCAGGCGGCACATAGTGATGTTGTTTGCGAAGCAGAATTCCAGGATTTCTAGGGTCTCATGCGTTCCAAAGCCATCGCAAATTAGGACCCGAGGCTTTCCGTTAGCTCGTCCACTTGTTTGAGGATCGAATACACGGGTAAGCCACTCTAGGCTGATTTTCGAGTCATTGTATCCGTTCTCCGAGTGCCCGTGATGCCAGCCAGGGGTTGGAAAAGTAGTCCAGTTACTCCTGTGGGTCGAAGCTGGCCAGATAATGAGTGGCAGCAGTGACCTGCCATCAGCACTAATGCACTCAATAGCAGTTACCTGGGTGCGCTTGACGCCTGCTCCCCTATAGTCACGGAGGTCATCCTTACCTACTAGGACTTTAACAGAGCCAAGCATGTTTAGCATGACGCCCGTCTCGTCCATGTTATATACATTCTCAGGCCGTACCCTCGGGTCCTGTAGGACTCCCTTGATTACCTCAAACCAGTGTGCAACCTTAGTATAGATATTCCGTTCATGCCGTTTCCAGTCTATTGCCTTTACTTTCCTCCCTTTTAGTCTAGGGTTGCGTTTCTCAAAGGACCGGGCCCAGTTCTTGCCCGGGGGCTTGATGGGTTTGCCGGTCATCGTCATCGTCCACCGGCGTGCGAGGCTAAAGGCTAACGAGGGTATATACTTGATTCGGACGGGCTGTCCGAGTTCAGACATTAGCAAAAGATATGCGACAAGGGCTTTCTCTTCATCTGGGGTAAGGTACTGCTGGCCTTGGGCCTTCTCCTGCATAGAGGGTCGTCCGCGCCTGCGGTAGTACCGAGTATGGTACGGAATAGCATCATCGTGCAATGGAGAAGTCCAAGTTGTTGGTGCATCACACGAAATAGCTTGTGTCAACATATGCCTCGATGGGGCCATGTCTACGATCGTGGTATCGTGAGTACTGTCACTGAGGCCATCACGACAGACACCCACCCTCCCTACCGCGCCGCCCAGAAGACAAAGGAACTCGCTCTGATGCCAGAAATAGATCAGCACGTGATCAGATGGATGCTTCGAGAACTGAACGCCACACTTTGGCCCGATCCGACCTAGTATGAACTGGTGCGCTATCTACGTAAGCAGACTAAAGTTACAAGCTAACAGAACAGGGTCGCGGCCAGAACTCGGATCTATCTGGAGTACAACTTATTGAAAGACAAAATATTAAATAAACATAGGAATATGCTCTTCATGAACACCATGATATTTCAGTTTCCCTGATATATAGAAATCTTGCTTATATCGTGCTATGACAGAGGTGTGAAGCCGATCAACACCAGAATGGCCAATACAGAATGGGCGACGACAGTACCAAACACGATGTAATATTTCCAACAGCCCTTTTGAGTTTGTGTAGAATAGCGTTATAAATGAGTGCTTTATTATCGCGGTGCAATACTAGCGATTGCGCGACGTCCAAGATACTAAAATCGCAGATTCTTTGCGGCATGGGGGGATTTGCGTGTCGTAGGGGGGGGACATTAGTTAGTCAATCGAGTCCATAAAATGTGGAATCCTACAAAGGGGTGCAATTTGGAAAGAGTTAACTAGTTAGTTAGCTAAAAGTAGTTAACGTACTAATGGACAAGCGAGTCGCGCACGCAAGTCGCTCGCTCCACCAAATCTGCGCATCTCTATAATATAAACGTGCAGCTCACCATAATATACATTTCTTGGTATAATTAGTTAACTATATTGATACTGTAGATTAACTGGGTAACTAGTACCTATAATATCTTTCTTGCCGAGTTTCACCAAAAGGCCGGATTCGATGGCGGTTCGAGAGATGCTGGATGAACCCTGTGACATTCCTTCCTTCAGATGTGCTGATATTTCCATGTCCAAGTTATAGAGCCCTAATGTAGACGGAAACATTGCATTGCCAGAGGCATTTTTTGCTGCTCTCTTTTCAATCGCTTTCTATGATCTCCGGAAGTTCAATTTGTGAGTATTTGTCCTGCCGCAACTGAAACGCTGTTGAGGCTACTGCTGCAAACTCAAGAAGTGGGACTGTGTTCCTGGATAGGCAATTACCTTGAGATTAAGCTCGTTCGACATCCCCACCTAGTTAAGTCGATCACACAGGCGTTAAGAGCTCCTGCATCCTCAAAATGTGGCCTACAAACCTTTGACTCGAGCAGATAACCGCGTGACGAAGACATTTTCGATACGACACTTCGAATTATTGATGCGATTCAGCGTTTGAGAGATGGAAGCCTGGTGAGACGGCTGTGGCAGCTTACCCCGCTCATGACGGTTGACCAGTCAGCAAAGATCTCTTGTATCTGAATAGACCGACTAGCTTTTATGCAACAGTGCTACACGGCAGAAGCGGGAGGAGCACCGTATCCTTCGTCGGCGTCTCCAGCGAGCTTTTGCAATACTATTCCCATGAAGCTACCCCAAAACCCATTGCTCCCTTCATCCCTCCCATACCGGATCACGTTTTGCCAAAGTCTCAGCGCCCGAAAGATGCCACTCACACTTCTCGTCTCACAGAGACCTAAGGAGCCAGTCTCGGGCCCCAAAATACGCACCGTGTCCCTGTCTTCCAACACAACGTGTGCAAAGTAAACATGCGTGTCATGTCCCACGATAGCGAAACATGGCTCTACTAAATTGTCTTTGCCAATTAGTCCTACACGCCGTGCAAGTTGCATTTTCTTTCGTAAGCTAGCTGCCATCCATATGCTGAGTTGATACTCTGCTTCTGTGTGGTCGCCGCTGGCAGGCTTAACCTCAACACATGAGAAAAGGGCCGTTGTCTTTGTAAAAGCGTCCGCCATGTGGCTTACGACGGGATTCCTTACATTTCTTAAGCGGGTATACAAGTCCTCGAAGCCTGGTGATGGCATGTGGGAGAAGGAGAGTGTAAAGTCGGCTTTGCGGTCAAGTATACGAGGTTTGCCAGAAGTATCAGTCACCGAGGAGAGAAACTCAGTAGCGATAGCCTGCGACTGTCTGCTCAAATGTTAGCACACGCATCCTAAAGGAGAAGCAAAAGATGCCTTACACACTCTGAAGCCAGAATTTATCATCTCCTTCTAGCCTCATGGCAAGCTTTATCAGCGGCTGGATTACATCCATACACCATGCGTTTTCATCACGGCCCCTCGCTTGACACATGCGCGCGTTTAACCAGATCTCCTTTATTTTCCGTAGCACATATGCTAGTGCTTCAAGCTCCTTGCTATCAATGTCCTTATCTGAGAGGCAGGGCGTCGTGCGGTCATCCCATGCATGAGACTCAATCCTTTGGTATCCAAAGTCTGCATCTTCTTCAATTGACTTCCGTAATTGACCAGGTATCCAGCCTCTGCCCAGCCCGTCCTCCAGCTGCTCTATGACATTCCTAACCCTCTGCGGTGGCGGTGTCTTCAGCCCGGAGCTCGGTTCTGTTATTGTCGGAGGAGATGCAGAAGCTAATACGGTGATGTTATCCCGGGAGGGGCTATTTGCTCGGCGAGAGCTTTTGATGCTTGTTTGGCTGCCTGGTGGGCTGAAGGTATTCGTCTCATTGAGCATGAGCGCGCTTGAGCTCGAAGCCGCCCCGACTGCAGATGCGCTGTGGGCAGGCAGAACTTCTATCTCGGTATCGCGCCTGGGTCGCTTAGGGCTGGTATTGCGTGCTGACATTGCATAGGTACAGGGCGGGGAGGGCTCGGGCTTCCGCTTTAGCGACGAACGGTTCTCAGGTGTTGCGGGCGGGGAAAGAGCATCGGCGTGAGTAGGAGAAGACGCAGAGAGCTGTTGAATCCAGCTTTCCACGCGTGATGACTTCGCAGCGGCAATCGAGGGCGACAATGGTGGTGTCGTCCCTTTTACCATAGCGGTTAGGTGTGCAGGTGGTTGGGCGTTCGGGTGGTTGCCTAGATGCAAGGCGTGACGAAAGAATCAAAACGCAGCTAGAGCACGCATAACCCCGTTGCCTTGGAAACAGAGCAGAGTCGGGTACAAGAATGTTTTCTACTACGACCGGGTTGTGATGACATGTGAGATGATCATGATCCGTAATTAGATTTGACCATATTTGGATTATCACTTAAAGCTTTTGGGTGAATAAGTTGGCACTCCATAGTAGTAACAAGACCGAAGTTTGATGTTCCGGTCTATTTATTTATTGACTCCTACTCGGTTTCAGCCCCGTGCTGCGCAGCTATGCCCGGAGTGGCAGGCGTGACAGACAGCGGACGCGGTCCGGACGTTGATCCGCGCCGCCCCGCTTCATCCCTCGGGAGAGACCATCTGTCCCCAGAAACCTGCCCATCTTCCATCAACCGCCATCAATATGCTTTGGCCGGCCATCTAGATAGCGGTTCTACTAATTGCATACTGTGTTTCTAGGCTCGTAGAGGCCCGCTGCCTCGTCTGTCGCGTCTGCTGTACCTACAGTTTCCCCCCAGCGCTCGGCGTCGTCTGCTCATTTCTGATCCCCACTTGCCCATGGATCCGCGTCTGTTCCATATACTCGATAGCTTTAGTGGCTAGCTGTGGCGTGCTCAGAATCGTCCTAAGGCTGTTTTGTCCGGATAGGTTGGCGAAGATGCGGTTCTGGAGGTCTTTGTGCTTGCTGTAACGCAGGAGGAAATGAGCGATGGTTTGCCGTCCCTCTCCACAACTGCAGCGAGGGCTGGTAATAATCGGGACGTGTCGCCTGAAGAGGTTGTTAAGGCCTATCTTCTCGGTTTGCAGCCGGACCAGCAGCGCGTTTTCCCTTTTGTTGAGCCTTTCGTGGAGTTGCAGCACTTTCTTGGTAGGCGTTGGCGTGTGTCTGTATGTCGCGCGGCCTCCCTTGTCTTCCCTCCATGCGCTAACTAGTCCATGCCCTTTCTGCCTGTGTCTTGCACCACCTTCTAAGCGTTGTGCTGAGCGGGTATAGCTGTGAAGGCGGGTTTGCTGGCAACTGGCTGCGGCCGTCCTCTGCATCCAGTAGCCTCCTTAGCGGCCTGGTCTTCGGCCTCGTTTCCCGGGATGCCTACGTGAGCCCTTGAGGTTGCTCTGTAGGCCCTGCATATACTTCTCGCTGACCTTGCTTGGATGCTGCGTAGAGCATCTATCGTCTGGCTGTCATCACATCTACGTGCGATCTAGTCCCGTTGCGGTCAGCTCCGCTTGTAGATACTTAATAGTCGGCCGGGTAAATTCAAGGCGGTATTGTGGCGCTCGGATTGACTTGGCAGTAAGTTATTCCACAGCGGTTGCAAAGAACCATTGCATCGGTCTACATATGATACCATCTTGTTTTTGCCATAGCCTGCCGTTAATAAGGCTGCAAATCCATCAGTAAGTTGCTCTCTTCCTGAAAGTCCTCTGCCTGATTGGTGTTGGTCCGCTATCGTTGACAATCCCGACCTTGCAACGACTTTCTTACACGCGACTGTTGAACTTTCTAGACTTCCGAATGCCGGACAAGGCCAAACTCAAACGTCGAAGAACACAACCACAGAGAGACAAGGCTAGAAATCGTCGAGAGGAACAAGCCGAAGCCGAAGCTGAATCCGGGCGTCGACTAGCGCAATCTCAGAGGGATAAAGCTAGAAGCCGGCGTGAGACACAGGAAGAAATAACCATCGCTCTCCGTGAACGGGAGTTCCTGTTGCGCTAGTTCTTAGGTACAGCTATGTACACGCGTCATGTTCCGCTTAACATGTATCGATTTTGGGGAACTACTTGTAATTAATGAAGATGCGCACTTTTTTTCCACAACAATGTTGACAATCACACTGCTTAGATACTCTGAAAACCAACATCCAAACTCCTTGAATTCTCACTATAGAGAGGTTCTTGGTGTGCGGTCGGGAATATTGTGAGCGAGCATAGTCAAGTAAACATCCCTAGAAATTGCGCTTGAAAGGGAGAAGTGAGTAAATTCAAGATGAAGGGCAGACTTGATTTTACACACTCCAAGTACTCTAACTAGTTAGTTAGATGATCGGCTTCATAAGCACTCAACCAACAATTTTCTTCCCTTCTGACAGCAAAATAATTTCTTTCTCAAGTCTTGAGCGTTCATGCTTTGTCTGCAACTCCTCTCCAGCAATATCCTCCAACGTCTCGTGATCAAGGCGAGCAACGAGTTGGGCGGATAGCAAAGTTAATGGTGTTGTTTCTCCAGTCACAAGCATGCAGTCGGCGACTTGCATACGGACTGCGTCAATGAATCGCTTTCTGGCGACTTTGTAGTAAGAACACAGTATGTCATGGATCTCAAGGGTGGTGTGTCTTGCATTACTTAGGGGGTGGCTCTGGACAATGTCATCCAGACGCACCACCGTTCCGTGCTTGCAATCCGTGATGCTTTTCGAAACTAAGCCCGCGCGTACACGTTCATTTCGACTAGTATTCGCATCAGCGTCGCACAGTTCACGCATGGATCACATACCGTTTCTGGAGATTCTCATTGAAGTAATGATTGTATGTAGCAGGTGTTCCACGGAGCTCAATGTCGAGAAGGAACTGCGTGTGGTTGATCGCATCTCGATACATCTTTTTTAAGTCATCCAGCAACAAGCTCCTGATCCCGTCCGAGACTCGGCGGCTAGGTGCGACCTGCTGCAGCACTTCGACAATGAAGTTATGTACCAAGGCAATCATGTCGCTGATATATCCATGTGCGAGATAGCCCCAATTGGCTGCCTGTTCTTTCAATATCACACCCAATATTTTGGCGTCAAATGTGCCAAGTTCGAAACCTCTGGATTCGCGGTACAATTCATCGATCCACTCAATGATATCATCACCAGATGGGGCTGAAACCGAGGTGTTTTCATGGGTGAGGTCTTCAATGTCTGGATCGTCCTTGACTGTCCGTACCTCGACGTTAGCGGAGTCGTGCATGGTAAGCTCCAGAATCCCATTCTGTATTGATGAGTCCTTTGTTTGAAACCGATATACATGGCCATGGCTTTCCAGGGCCTTGGCGAAGGCCTCTCCTCGATTGATCGCCTGGGTGGCGAGTCGAAGAGTAGGATTGCGTCCGAATATACCTGATCGGTTATATCCAGCTTCTAGCGCGTCCGATACAAGGTTCTGGAACCGAATAGCAACATCAACTGCGTACTGGAACTGTTCCTCGCGCGTCTGGCGTTTCGGGCCTAGTTGGCGTAAACTCTTCATAGCTATCTTCAGCTTTTGTGAGAGTTCAGACCGGACCTGCAGTATTAGCTTTGTGTGAGTTTTGAGTCAGAGCCTTTGACCAACCTTGGGGAATTCCCGACGAATGTGATCTTCGAGTATCGCCTGTAACCGGACTCTGAGCTTTTGGACTCCCAACTTTTCCTTATCTAAACTTTTCCAAGGCGTTGTCTTGGCAAAAAATTCTGCCTCTATCGCGTGTCGACATCGTCCAGTGTTCAGGTCAGACTGCCCGGGATTTCGCACCAAATGCCAACCCAAGCGCAGGCGGTGCTTCCGTTCCTCTAGCAAATCTACAACAGCACCCTCACCGCCCTGATCGATGAGATCAGGCTTCGTCAAAACGCCCAAGGTACGGATTCCCTCAGTATCGAGGTCTTCTGCTCGTTCGAGAATCTCTTGGGTAGCAATATCGACATTGCAAGGAACAACAACCAACACGACAGACCTCGGGTTAGACATGTAGCCGTGTACCATCTGGTCAACCAAGGCGATATCTTCCTTTGTGGTCATGCCTTGTGTTGTCCGCTTAAAGATACCGGGGACATCTATGACACTGAAGTGTTCCTGGAACGGTCCAGACACTTCTAGGCGCAGTACATCTTCGGAAAATGTGCGCTGACCAGACGTCATATTCGATCCGATTTCCATAGTACTCGTTACCTTTCTTGTGAGTTTCAGCAAAGACATGAGACGCACTACATACCTGTTCCATAATATTGCGGAATGAGTCTGCGTCCAGTGACTGCATGGGGCTTGTGCCCCATGCCTGGAGTCTTTCTTGTCTCTCTTGGGTGCTGCTTTTGGCGGGTATGATGGATGCGACTATGTTTTCTTCGCTTGACCGGCGGAACGTGATTTGTGTTGCGAAGCGAGTACATAGCCCACTATCTCGAGGGAAGGGCAAACCTGTTAGCCCTTCGAGCACTGAACTCTTGCCACTAGATTGATCCCCTACAACTACTAATTGAGGTAGATCGACATATTCCCCAGCATTGCAAGCGAAAAGCTTGTCAATCTTCTCGAGAATTGTTGAACTCACAAGCCCACCAACAGGTGTGGTACTGGAGTGCGTATCCATCTTATGGGAATAGTGTCGATAGATTCAGGCCTGGCGCCCTGCTTCTGTAGAACTGTCAAGATTCGTATCGGTTGCAGTGTGATCGGGAAGCGATGCTGTGAAGCTCTTGATTGGTAGTGAAGAGGCGTACTCTTGACCGTTGAAGATGATGAGTGATGAGACTATGGTTGCATGTAGAGCCATGTAGCTGTCGAAAGAAAAAGAAAAAAACTCTGTTCCCGTGGAATAATCTTTAGGCCGCCAAGTGACAGCAGTCTGGGTTTTCCAAAATCCGTAATCAATGCAACAAACCTGAGAAATTGCCGTGTTTCGTCTTTGCATAAACTTCTCTGCACATGATTTTTAACTAGAGACCTCACGCACTAATCAAATCTTGGATATATCCCTAGCATATGAGCTAACTATGGATGACATCGGATTTGTAAGAATCCCCGCACTTGTTTAGCTGTACGACATATTGGTACATACATAAGAACCAGGGCATCATGTCATGCTTGATCCCGTATGATGTGCTCCGCAGCTGCTAGGAGTAGACTGGTCTACCCCTGTTTACACTACGGAATATGAGGAGGTTCGCTTGCGATCCGCTGGTTGAAAAGCGTAAGCTGCTTACTGGCAGGCAGCTGCGCCACCGCGGCACAGTTCATATCGTGTGCTGAGCTGACACACATTCTTCAAAGTGCTTACGGTCGCGATCGAGTCCTATCGAGGTCAATCTCGCTTGTAGAGCGGGACGGTCGCTTCTGCACCGTAATCACTGCTATTAGCCATTGCGTTTATATCACTAGTGGGAGAGGGAAGTTGCAAACTCTCTCCAAGGTGGCTCACGCGAATGGGTTATCTTCCTAGCGTACGTGTGCGCTGACAGATTAGCGCTGACGCTAAGCTGTATTCGGCTATTTGCAAACACGGGGCTGTCGCAATGCCCACATTGAGTTAGCATCGCTGTCCGTGAATGAGGCTCCTATAATGTTAGTTTTAGGTCACGGTTGTATGGGTATACACATCATGTTCTGTCCAATATGCGTCAATACTTGGCAACTACATATTTGTAACTACACAACATAAAATGAGTAATTCATATAGTCTGCTAATAGAGCTGCACGGAGCCAGCGATTGCTTCTCCTCTAAGAAAGAAAAATTGAATAGACAATGACTGATAGCCTATGACATATCTGTGATGGGAACTTGGAATTGAAGATACAAGAGCCCGTTGCCTTAAGAGACTTTCATATTCACGGTCGTACAATGTACGAACTCCAGTTCGAGCGGTGATTCCCACAATGAGGGCAATGGTAGCTGGATCCTGAAGATGCACCAACTTCCCAGTGCCCAGAGCAATTCGGACATCTGTACTTCGTTCGGTCCTGCTTCTCACGCACACTATGCTTGCTTGCCTGGAGCTGAACCAAATCTGAAGCGAAGCCAGCAGTCTCTCCCAAAACGTCGCAAAACCCCTGCTTTTGCAAAAGCGATGTGATGTGTTCGCATGCGACATCGACTACTAGGCTTCGGAGCCCTTGGTCGTTTGGCGGGGTAGAGTTATATACCTCTGCAATAGCGTGCGGAAAGTCGTCCATGTTCCAGCACGTCTCGACTGACTCTTGAAATTTCTGTCTAGTGACTGACTTCAATGCTGGAATATCATACTTGTCCGCTATACTATACACTTTGACGTTGAATACCATCGGTGAAGCAGCATCAGCCATGCTCCCGCCAGCGTCATAGTCAAATGTGTATAGGAACTGAAGCATTGCCTCGACAGCGGAGACATCATCGTCGATTAGAGGGATAATCCTTTCCACTGACTCCTATGGCCACACCGTCAAAAACAGCCCTGCGATAGCGATAACACATACCTTCCACTTCCCTTCGAAAGCATTCGAGAAAAACTTCGATTGAGCAGATAGCACGATTTTATGGATTCGAAACTCTTTTCCAGCACATGTTATGGTTCCATCGGATAGCTTTGGAGAGTCGTAATACCTTGGACTGTTAAAGAACACGTGACTGCTTGGATAATCGGAACAAGATGGTACTCACTCTCGAAGACTGAGCAGTAAAGTTTGGAAGGGTTGTTCAGTCTACATTTTGACGAAGATATGATAGCAAGAGGTAGAGGTCAAGAGCTTTTATGATATGGAAAACACAAGAGATCTGCGGGCGGGGTAGTAGTCGTAGAGGGGAAATCAGGTCGGGTATCGGTTAGATCCAGCTCTGAGACTTGGCGCATGCAACGTGGGTTAGATAAGCATATATTGAGATGGATACAACTATAACATTGATAAAGACTAACTTTCACAATGCTGCTTTGTGCAAGTCCTGCGCACGAATGGGTGAAGGAACGATGATAGCTCTGAGTTCGAGGAGATTCGTTGTTCCATCGTCTGCACCGTTTCATTTGCTTGAATCAAGGCTATCATGCAATGGCTAGTCAATTAGCTAGCAGTATTGCTATCAGAGTTTCTATGGATCAGTAACTGCTTGTCTTGCCACCCATTCTCGCACTCTCTCCACAAAATACGCAGCTGTCTATTGCTCTGTCCAGTGTTTCTGCTTCTATTAACAATGCGACCTAGCGATCAACCTAGCTAGTCCGACCCTGTGCTGGCTGGACGATTTCTCAACAACCAGCAAGGAGCCCTGCAAGCAAAGCAACGGCGTATAATTTGTTTTCTCACAAACCCCCAAAAGTAGCAGAACCCTTAGACGGACCACCGAACAAACCGCCTCTTGGATGGAGGGTAGAGAAGGTCGCGGAAGGCGGTGGAAAAATAGCGCTCTCAAAATACTGAACGACAAAATCGCCACCTTCGCGGATAAGATCTTTGAATATACTCTTACTACCTAGTTCTTTGATGTGATCCTTTGCTATCTCTACTACTGCAGATCGCATGCCAAGATCGTTCGCAGGGGTGGTCGCATATATTTCTCGGATGCATTCTGGAAAGGAGTCGTTAGTCCAGAGATCTTGTAACTTGTGCTGAAGCTTTGCTATAGCAACTGCTTTCAAGTCTTCCAAGAAGAACATGTCGGCAAGGGCGTATACGCGAGGCTCTTTCAGCAACGCAGGGTCATCTGGTGGGAGTTAGGAAATCGAGCGCATAGGTTCATCCTTCACCTTACCCTCAATGTCGTGTGATAGATTGTCCGGATAATCACCTGTGTACAAGTACTCAAAGACCCTCCAGTAGGCGGCCTCGCTACCATCGTTGTACGCGAGCACCCCTGAGCTTCCCTCAGCAAACGAGTCCTGAAATGCCTTTTCCAGATATTCGCTTTGCGTGCAGACAAACATTTGTGAACAGGTAGACTTTTGCCATAGATGACAACGGTAGCATCGGAGTATCTCGGGTCGTTGAACAATCTGTAGAAGTTAGGTGAAATAGCAGAAGTCCCAAAGACAAATACCTGGCAATGTTCTGCATGAACTCTGCCGAACGTTTTTCCATTATGGTGATGAGCGATACAGTAGACGTGTGCACTTCTGGTTTAGCTGCTGGCGAGCTTGGTTGGCGAACGAGAGCCAGCTGCCGCTGCACTGCTACCGCTATTCTGCTAACCTGATGTGGGTATTGCGACAGCCCATGTTTGCAAATAGTCGAATACAGCTTAGCGCGGCAAACGCGGCACGTAATACGTACGATACAACTCACAATAAGTTCGTTGCTTAGTGGATAGGGCTTAGTGTCAGCGCTGATCAGAGTCACCCACTGGCGTGGAGTCGTCAGTCATCACTACGTATGTGAAGAGGTATCAGACCTGGCCATCACGGTGAAGCTCAACCTATGCTTACGCGGAGACATGAGATTCGGGAGTTTAGCTGCAACTCTACTAAAAAAAAAGTGGGCCTGATGACTGTCGGCCTCCACTTATCATTGCGGCACTTGACGGTTGATAGCTTCATATATAAGAATAAATCTTGAGGCCAGTTGAACCTTTTCAATAGTTCAAAATTTCTTCGATTCACCTACCATATACATAAAGTGCGCATCATACGAAGTCTCCATCCACATCTATAATGGTTATCAGGCCATTCGACACCCGCGCTGTCCATGAACTCTGCTCAAAAGATCAACTCGACCTGCTGGACTCTGTAGATCGTCTACGCTCTCAGGGCATCGACCACTATGTTTCTCTGCCACAGATCATCGTTTGCGGCGATCAGTCTTCTGGTAAAAGCTCTGTCCTTGAGGCTATTTCTGGTGTCTCTTTTCCAGTGAAGAGCAACTTATGTACTCGTTTCCCAACCGAGTTAGTCTTACGAAAGACACCTGAGATTGGCGTCAGCGTCTCCATCGTCCCAGACCGCTCGCGTAGCAAAGTAGAGCGTGTGTCTCTCAGCAACTTTCGCGAGACACTCGATAGCTTCGCTGCGCTCCCAGAATTGATCGAGAATGCCAAAACAGCCATGGCCATTGGTAGTCTTGGTCGAGCCTTTTCGAAAGATCTATTACGGGTTGAGGTGTCGGGTCCTGACCGACCACATCTTACCATCGTAGACTTGCCGGGCCTTATTCATTCCGAGACAAGACAGCAATCCGCAGCTGATATCGAACTCGTACAAGATGTCGTCAAGTCGTACATGAAAGAGCCTAGAAGCATCATCCTCGCGGTTGTATCCGCAAAGAACGATTACGCCAACCAGATCGTGCTGAAGCTCGCTCGTACTGCCGACAGAAGCGGAACCCGCACGCTTGGTGTAATCACTAAGCCTGACACTCTGATTCCAGGCTCCGACAGCGAAGCCATGTATATCTCGCTTGCTAAAAACCTTGATGTGGAGTTCCGTCTTGGATGGCATGTTCTCAAGAATATGGATTCGGAAACTGGATCTGTGGCGCTTGCAAATCGTGATGAAGAGGAAAGTCGTTTCTTTTCTGAAGGCGTATGGCCTACATTGTCCGAATCTATCCTGGGTATCGTACCATTGAGAGAACGACTGAGCAAACTCCTTCTTGTCCAGATCGCAGCGGAACTCCCCGGTCTTGTGGAAGAGATCGAACTCAAATCTGCCGCTTGTCGCACTGGACTCGAAAAGCTGGGCCAACCTCGGGCTAGTATCGAAGACCAGCGCCAATATCTAGTCACTCTCAGCCAAGCATGCCAAGCCCTTACCAAAGCTGCCGTCGATGGAACTTACAACGATGACTTCTTTGGCGATGCGAAAACTGACGCTGGCTACCAGAAACGTATTCGTGCCGTCGTACAGAACCTCAATCAGGCTTTTTCAGAGACAATGGCGCGCGAAGGACACCACTTTGTGATCACCAACTCTTCTGGTACAAGTCTTCTACAAGGCAGTCGACCGAAGGAAAACATCCTCAGCCGACCTGAGTTTCTAGAGCGTATCGAATCCCTCATGAAACGCACCCGCGGCCGCGAACTCCCCGGAACCTTCAACCCCATGGTAGTATCGGACCTCTTCTTCGAGCAGTCATCGCCCTGGGAAAAGCTTGCTAGAGATCACATTCTAGAAGTCGTAACTGCGGTAAGGACCTTTCTCAGGCACCTCACTTCCCACGTTTCAGACGCGTCTACATGCGGCGCACTATTCCAAACCCTTGTTGACCCTGCGCTTGAGCGGATTTCGAAAAATGTGAAAAGCAAGACAACGGACCTACTTGCTTCGCATCAGCGCGGACACCCCATCACCTACAACCATTATTTTACAGAGACAGTGCAGCAAGTCAGGAAAGAAAGAATGACAGCGGAACTCACGAATGTCATCCAAGACGTCTTCAGCGTTAGCTCACTTTACCCGTCTGGACAATCTCGATACGTTGAGATGGACTATCGCCCGTTGCTCAATGCACTCATAACACATGGAAATCCTGATTTAAACCAGTATGCGTGCTCTGAGGCGCTGGACTGCATGCAAGCCTACTACAAAGTAAGTCGCTATCTACACAATTCCAATGAGTCACCTTTTGTCAAGTTGTATGCCAACGTGTCTCCTTCTCCATTAGGTTGCCTTCAAACGCTTCGTGGACGATGTTGCTGTTGAAGCTGTCGAAAAGGATATCATTGCTAAACTTAGCAACATCGTTTCGCCGATCAAAGTTACCTCTCTTGCCTCTGATGTGGTGACAAGTATTGCTGGTGAGTCCAAGGAGAGCCAAGCGAAGCGCAGCCAGTTAGAAAACCAGCTAGGCGTGCTGGTTCAGGGGTTAGAGACATGTAAAAGATTCATAGTAGGGACACTACAGGGTAAGCATTGACCCAGGCTGTCAGTAGAGTGTTCTATGTAGAGCAAACGTAAGCTAAAGCATGGCCGTCTATAGGTGCACCAGATGCAGCGACCCTACGACCTGGGCTTGAAGCTTCTTCCTCAGACTTGTCGTTGGACTCTTCTCGCACAGAGTCAGACGGACGAGTCACTGATGACGGGCTAGAGGAATTCGATGCATCTCCTGATGCTGCTCTTGCTGAGTGGGCTCTGCCAACAGAAGGTGAATCAGTGCCAGAACAGGAACTCGAGAGACTTGACGAAGTGAATTTCAGTGAGCCTATGGGTTCTTTCCCACGAAAAATCTTAAGTAAGAAGAAGGGAAAGAAAAACGTTTATCGCCCTTCATAATCTCCCTTCTATTCAAAAGATGAATCTAAGGACGAGTATTGGTCATACAGCTGCTTTTTCAATACCCCAGCCTGTCAAACTTGCCAAAGTATCTACTGATAGCAACGCTGTCGTTTGTCAGCTCAGACATTTTGTAAGGTATCTTTAGCCTCGTCGATACCAGTAATACATCCTTTGATCAATGTTGTTTGCATGACTACTTCGCCCTAGCGTCAGAAGTCGCTAATTTCGTGACTTCAGATGCTATCATGAGGGGTTTTAGTAGCCCCGAAATATGACAGTAATTTTTCAAAAACTTGTTGCTGCAGCTACCCTCCCCGGATGGCCGATGAGCCACTTCATATCACGACAAGCGTCTTTCACCCAACATCAACCAAACATAGGACTACCGTCATAGATCCAGTTCCATGGATCCAACTCAAAGAGTTGTCAAAGCAATCAGTTCCAAAGAATATTAAGTAATCATTACATGTTGGTTTTTTTGATTTCGCAAGCTAAGTCTTCTAGTTTGCAGAAGGAGCCAAAGGGTGTCGACGAGACGTGCCGTCATCTCGTTCACTTCCCGGTACTCTTGGCATGTCTCTGTACATACTGCACGCGCTCCCGAAGGTCTGTCATATCTTTGGATATAATGTAAAAGCTAATGCCCCGTATCCTTAGCAGGTCACGAAATGCAGCGTCGATGCGCATCCATTCCTTTTCGTCTTTTGGCATTAGCCGTACTCCATCATCCTCAAGCCATTGACAACCCGCTTCACACAATATCACGATGCTCTCTTTCATGCGGTCTTCAAGCCCTTGCCAAAATTCGGACGCTAGCATTTCCGCCGCTGCATAGTCTCCAACAAAGCATTTGGCGTACACAATAGGGTCCAGCCCAGATCGATCGCATATGTACCAAGTAGATGCACCCTCAGGGCATGCCGTGGTTTCGGCATAGTACTGGGCAGCAAGAATGTGTCGCTGAAGTTGAAGCGCGCGTGCCGGTAGTGTTGCGATGTCCTCACGCCTAAAATGATTCTCCCTCAGAACTGTCCGCGCTACCTCACGTATGACTAACGGACGCTGGCTGCTATATTCATTCGCAATCTCCTCCAAACAGCTCTCCAGGGCGTTGATCAACGTGCTCTTGCCTGTAGATTGCGCTCCAATGATGTAGATGTTTTTCATATTGCTGTAGGTGAACCGAATCAAGAACGAGGCGGATAAGCGTCGAATTACATTGTGCGCTTTGGGTGGGTATACGAATTTATATCTGTTCTGACCTACGTCGACAATGGCATTGGCTGTGTTGCACCGAGAATCACCCCGAGACGCCTGCCCCGGCGTGGAATGTCTGATCGTGCGTGCGGCATTAAAACGTCAACGACGCGTAATTTCATCAATATGAGCTCAATTAAGGAAAGCGGATCTGGTTTAAATCAAAATGAACACTAAAGGTTTGAGTCAGCTTCGGGTGGGGGCGAGCAGAGGGGTGACATAGTTGTTGGGCGAGCTTCACAATAGTTCGTGGTAATTCTGATGGAACAGATCAGGGTTTTCCCTGTTTGGTAATCATATAAGGTTTTTAAACCTCATGGATCACATCCGTGGCGATCCGCGCATTCCCTCTATCTCCCCACTTACACACTTCTCTGTTTGGCAGTCTTGAAGAACCAAGACAAGACAAGGTCCGTCGGGAACATGGAAACTTTGTTAGTAATGGTATTGGCACCGACTGACCGTATAATCTCCTATCAGTTGTTCTGTTATCAGCATTGTTCTATTCACTTACATATAGGCTAAGTCTGCCTTCGGGGGCAGCAATCACACCTACACCCGCATGTACGACACAGATTCATAGATGGACAAGGCCAAAATGTTCGTCAAAACCCTGCAGCACCGTGTGTCTCCAGAAGACGTCAAATGGGAGTATTCGGCACCAGATATTCCCGTATCTCATCTGACCAATAAGGCGGGGCTCATCAAATGTGTGTCGATTGTCTCCTCGACTCAGCGGCAACATATCACCCTCCGTTTTACAACTGCACCCTCAAACCGAGTCATCAGGAACGACGTTCTCGACAGGTTCATTCTCCTCTCTTTCGCAGATTTCAGGCTACAATGGCCTGCTCTTGTTGCAGGTGAGGCTTCGAGGCCGGCCACAGCTAGGGAAAATGCGGATTGGATCACCAGAATGCTTGTTTCCGGCATCACGATTAACAATATTACCTACCATTTCTTTGGTCATTCTAACAGTCAGCTCAAATCAAGATCTTGTTTTTTGTATGCGGCATCAAAAGAGGAGATATCTATCAAAGTCGAGGCAATGGGAGATTTCTCAAAACTAAAGTCTGTTGGCAAGAAAGCGAAGCGCATTGGACTCCTCTTCTCTAGCGCAGAAGTCGCACTGGATCTGCCACCCGATCGTTGCCAAGACATCAATGATGTCGCAACCAAGCAGTACATCTTTACCGATGGTTGCGGCCTTATCTCCACTCAGCTGGCAAATCACCTGGCACAAAAGCGGAATATTGTTTTTCGAAATCGAAGATATCTCCCTTCGGTTTACCAGATCCGGTATCGTGGTTACAAGGGCGTCTTAACGCTGGATCCGATGTTGCGTGGGCAAATCCAGGTCCAGTTCCGAGCGTCAATGCGGAAATTTAAAGATTCGCCAGACAACAGTCTCGCCATTGTGGATTATTCCAAGGTCTTGTATTCAAGTTCATTTCGTGGACAATAAGCTGACATTGGACAGCCTTACGCTTTTGGTAGTCTTAACGATGAGATCGTTGTTCTCTTACATACACTTGGGATCTCGCAGGAAACGCTCCTTGCTAAACAGACACGGCATCTCACTTTTCTCCAAGACGCTCAAAAAGGTAATTTTCAGGCTGCCTTTGAATTTCTATGCTACATCGACCGGACAGATGTGGCAGAACAGCTGTTATTGGATGGTCTAGACTCAGTGCGCGTCACACTCAAGAGTTTAGTAAAGCAAGAATACGATCGAATGGTCAACAAGCGCAACGAACAGAGATGTCGAATCTCAATTCCAAAGTCTCGTTTACTCTTTGGTGTTTGTGATCCAACCGCAAAAGATGGCTTCACAGGTCGACTTAAAGAAGGCGAGTGTTTCATCCGCATCACAAAGGATGGCGACGGCAGGCCACACACTATCATCAACACCGAAGTCTTAGTTACGAGAAACCCGTGTCTGCATCCAGGTGATCTTCAGAAGTTCAGGGCTGTTGATGTTCCCGAGTTTTTGCATCTGGTGGATTGCATTGTGTTTACAACACAAGGGAAACGACCAAGCGCCGATCTAATGTCTGGAGGCGATTTAGACGGAGACAAGTGTAAGTTTGATACTCACCATCTGCAACTGTAGCTATTCCAAGCTTATGCACAACAGTTTTCGTCTCATGGGATAGCGATATAATCCCTCGTACAATGGCTGAGCCTGCCCAATACCCTGGTGGCAAAGAGCTCATCACTTTTGGCGAAGTGACTGGCGATAGTCGTGCCGAATATTTTGCTCGCTATACCAATGGATCTCTAGGCAAAGTTAAGAATCTTTACCTGAAGTGGGCTCGGCTCGGGAATGCCATGAGCCCACAATGCCAACAGCTCAATCGCCTGTTTTCTCAGTGTGTGGATGGCAACCATATCAGAATACCTGAAAATCTGGAGGCCTTCACAGAGCTTGAGGATCCACCCGAACCTAAGCGAACAGTGGCGCCTTTCATATTAGATAGCCTTCATGAGGCATGTATGACGCACATTCAACAGACAGCTACACTAGAGATGGAGATTCAGGACAACGCAAGCATTGTAGACTTACTACTGACGCGCGAAAGGATGGCGATTTCGGAGTTTGAGCTACTGCAACTTCTGGTGCAATGGTGTGATCTACATGATGTGGACATAATGGGGTACTGTCACGCCATCAACTTCAGTGCTCTGACGGACGAACAACAGATATGGTTCCTCGCTCGATTGCCGCCATCAAACACAGTGACAAGCTTGGTTCGCAATGGGCTTCTTCAGTCCGAGCTTATTTCTCCACAAGAATTCCGTCTATTTGGGCTGGATCATCCAAGTTTGCACTGGAAACCAGTTTTCCGCTCTGGAATCGATCGGATGGGGAGGTTCCTTCCAGTCGTGTGTCGCTCACTGGATGTGTTTCACAAAAAATTGATCGTACTGCGCATCAATGATCGTCTTAGCGTAGCCATCTATGTACCAGAAAAGGTTGCCCGTGCTAGCGAGGTAGCGGTAGATGATGGCGTGCGAGTATTCGTCTTTCCACACACCCAAGGGCTGCAATCATCCAATTATCGCGCGGTGCCCACCAAGGCCACCTATCGCCTTTATTGCGATGAACAAGTGTTCCAACTTTATCACCAGAAAAGACGAAACACCTGGATATTTCTGAGAAGCCCAAAAGGTGATGATGCATTATACCGTGCGTTGCCCAGTGTTGGAGACAAGAGGAGGGTGAGGGAACATACCATGCGGCAGCAGATCAACTTCGAATGCAAAGCCAGTATTGCTTTAGATAAGATTGGCCGAGATATACAAACCCATATTGGGAAAGTTCAGAGTGAAGGTGTCCTGGGTGGCGTGAGTATCTTTGTGTAGCTGCTTGGCAAATTGCGCTGACAGGAAATAGGAGGTGTATGTGATCAGCAACCGCGATGTTGATTCAATGCGCGTTCTCGATCAATGGCTACACTACGTTGATACCCAAGAAATTCTCCCGCTGTTTGACAAACTCGAACCAGAATATACGACGGCAAAACTGGCTATGCTCGACTGGGATGAATACACAGAGCTTGTGCGAGCTGTCTGCCGAGAGAACAATCTTTCGTCACTTTGCCAGCTGAGTTCTATCGCAGAGCTGCAGGTGATCTTGGATCTCCTCAAGAAGTGTGACGAGAAAAAGCGTCTTCGCGACGTGTTTTCACAGGCTCTACTGTTGGCTGAAGATCCGACCTTTGCTATCCATGGCAAAACTATAGTTTCAGCCTTGCTGAGGTACTTGAAAGACGCAGCCTATCTAACCTCAACGTTCCTGCAGTCACAATCATGGGGCAGACACAAACGAGACATGGAAGATGAACTGATTGCTTTGGCTCCTGACATTGCAAAGAGACTCATCTTGATGTCCAACGAGTTCGGCAGTCTTGTTCGCCAACATTTGGTGCTTTTACTACATGAGTTGAAGGAATTGCCAATGCAAAGTTTCGCCAAACTGGTGGAGCTCATTGCACTTACTGTTCGCTCACCTGAAACTGCATTGGACCTGCTTCTGGAGGTCTTTGAACCAGAAACATCTCGACTACTCGTTGGCCGTCCGATGTCTGTCCGTCAATTTACCTTATCGCTTTTTGGTATCGCTTTGGACTACATTGACGAGGCTGCAAGTTCTTCAAAACCCGAGCTGGATTCTATCAAACTGGCTTTCCATGAATACAAGGATGGCCATACCATCGTCAAAAGCATATTACGTGTAGACTCGTCCGTGGCTGGCTCCCTGAAATCCGGTGACCACGTTCGTCTTACCGTAACCAACAGCCCAAAAAACGATTCCCTCATGAAGCTCTTTTCGATGGATGCTCTAGTATTGAGCACAGAGCTATGCACTGTCATTCTCAGATGCTTGCATGATCCGCCTCCGCATCTTACACAATGCGCATGGCATATCACGTTGTGTGGCTCGTTCGTTACAAGCAAGGCCGTATTCGATGCTGTGACAATGTTTCATACTGAACGTGAATCTCGCTGCAAGATATATGCGTCCCTCTTGGGATTACCAGCCATAGATCAGACTGAGCTTTCAAAGGTCGAGCTACCCGTTGCCAGGGATCCAGGTCTCAACGCAAGCCAGAATGACGCACTCGCGGCGGCAATGAAACACTCACTAACGCTCATATGGGGACCTCCTGGAACAGGCAAGACTCACACCATCATCGCCATTCTGTGTCAGTTGCTCCGACAATTGCCGAAGTCCAGGTTCCTTATTACAGCGCCGACGCACAACGCAGTCGATAACATTTTAAGAAGATTCACAAACACCAAGAGTGCAGAGAAAACTGGCACGACTGCTGTGAGAGTATCAACTCAGGTAAGCTGAATCATCATGAATACTTCTCTAAGGTTCCACTTCTAATATCTCCCCAGCTCTCCAAAGTATCACCAGACCTTCGGTCCTTTACCTGCGATGCAATGCTGGGCCAAGATCTTACGGGCAATCCGTCCAAACGCCGTAAAGCCCAGCAGCGAATCAAAGAGGCCCGCTTGATCTTCACTACATGTACCGGCGCAAGTCTTGGTTTGCTACGTGACGAGCAGTTCGATGTTGTTCTCGTCGATGAAGCTTCCCAGCTGACAGAGCCTGCGACACTTGTACCACTTGTTAAAGGATGTTCGCGCGCGATCTTGGTAGGTGATCATGTCCAATTACGCGCTACAGTACAACAAAACTCGTTGCTTGTGGGCTATGACATCTCGTTATTCGAACGTCACTACAGCATGCAAGAATGTAAAGGTGTAGCGAAAGTCATGCTCAGCATTCAGTATCGTATGCATCGTACTATCTGCCACTTTAGCTCTACAGAGTTCTATGATAGCAGATTGGACACTGCAGTCGCGGACGACAGTCGACCACTTCCAGTGTCACAATTTCCTTGGCCGAAAGACAATCGGTTGGTGTGGATTGAGATTAGCAGCCCAGAAGACTTGGCTCAGCGATCAAAAGCCAACTTCGGCCAGACCGAGGTTTGCAAGCGTGTTGTGCAACTCCTTACTAGCCCCATCTCAGATGCTAATTCACAGCCTGCAGAATTCCAGCAACGATCACTGGCTATCTTGACTCCATATACTCGGCAGAAAGAAGCACTTAGCAGTGCTGTCACTACGGCCGAAGTATCTTCTATTGACGGTTTCCAAGGCCGAGAAGCAGATGTTGTGATCTTCGTTACTGTGCGGTGTAATGTATCACACAGCATTGGTTTTCTTGCCGATATGCGCCGGCTGAACGTTGTTATGACTAGAGCAAAGTGTGGCGTTATAATTATTGGGAACAAGGAAACACTTACAGGAGATATAGGAGTGGGAGGCGACCTGGAAGAGAGTAAGAAAGTCTGGCAGCGGCTGGTGAACAGGTGCCAAATGGTTCAGGTTTAGAAAGACATATTGCAGAAGATTGTTAGGTTGATTCAGCTTTCTTAGGGAGAGAAGCAAGCATTGGCTCCATTCAGCTCTATTCGCAGACTATGACTCACTCATCCTCTACTAGTCATGACTAGTTGCCAGAAATTGATACATATCAACCAGAATATATCGATACCTACACACAATCGTGCCTGGAGCTAACACATTAATCAGGAGCCTTCGTTCATGAACAACGACGCTAACCTGATGTGGGTATTGCGACAGCCCATATTTGCAAATAGTCGAATACCTGCAGATAAGCTTCCTGTCTGAGCAGTAAACAAGGATTAGCGTCAACACTGCCAGTATTTTGGTAGGCACAGCTGCATCGAACCAATTGGCCATCATGACGATTCAACCGTTGTGGCACACAAAATCACAACATGTTCTAGAACTCTATCTCATGAACCTCAGTCAATTGCAAAACAAAAATCAAGATCGACCCTTGCTCTGCCATACACTATAGATAGGCTGCGCATCCAGATAAACTAAAAAACTAGCTAACTATGTTGTATCTAGACACAATGTATCGAAAAAATTTGTAATCCCATCCATATCGCTTTGAGATCCATTCTCGGAAAGAGGCGCAAGTTCGCTCAGTAGCTTTTCGAAATCGAGAGCTGTCGAAAGCAAGATCTTGCTCCATTCATATAACGTAAAACGAAAAGTTCGTTTAGGGTATCCTTGCCCTACAGTAAAAGAGGAGTTCATTCCTCGACACAGCTTGCCTAAAATTTCATGTACTTTCGTGGCTGTAACGCCGTAATTTTGTTGTCTCGCCCTAAGGCCAGCATCAATAACGGATTCACCATACAGACCCATACAACTTATACTTGTGTTTCGATCCGGTTCTACACCAATTAGGAGAACTTTAACCAGCTGACGAACGAAGGCTACAGTGTATCTACTTGAATTCTCGAAGGCTTCCGACCTGGTCTTGCCCATATCATCAGGATCAATACTTTCCTTCATACAATGTATGGCCCTTATGCAGAGACTTGCAGTGTTAAATGATTCCGTAACATTCATTCCAACAAGGTATCGATAGCGAATTGCAGGGTCATGGCTGTGTGAGGTTTCGATCTGTGATTCAATGAAAGCTGCGATCGACTCCAAATTTCGTTTGTACTCAATAGCGAGCTGAGTCAAGTCCCTAAGCGGTATCTCAGTAACGCACAATATACAGTGGTAATATGCTTACATCTCTTGAGCTCTTGATCTTTCTCGGGTGATGCTTTTGCAACGCTCTCGCAACTCATCCATCCACCTCTTGTTCAGCCAGTCTCCACGGTACAGACCGCACGCTTGCGCTATTTCCAGGATAAGTAACTGCCTCAGGCAGCTTAGATCGGGGTTATAGTTCATAGCGAAACTTGGATGGAAGGCGTTAACGCGCACGATTCTATGGCCTGATGCCATTACATGAGTGGGGCGTCCAAACACTTGACCGACTCCAAGACCTTCTACAGCAGCTATATTCCCCGTTCTGTCCTCTTGCGCTATACCGTTTCCCCGCTTGTAGCGCCACATGCATACAACAACATCCGGACATTTTGCCTCAATCATCGCAAAGGTTCGCTCCTGGATGTGATGCTTGATATCAAGATCAGGCTCCTCGTAAGACCTGACAAACGGTAATCTATCCAAGACAGTAGGGCTGGGTGCGCCACAGGAGACGATTGGCCAGATTTCTATGAGAAGGGCTCGAAGTGTAGGTGATGACTCTATGACTGAGTCTGCACCTAGGTGGTACGGATGGTGGTCGGCTGGCTGTTGAAGGATGAAGCAGATACCGCCTTTCGTGTCAGGTCTTGCCAAGTACGCTGCTGTGGCTATCTCATCATGAGGAACAGTTTGTCCGTCACGTTGTAAGCTACAGCCTAACTCTTGTATTATTCGTAGATGTCTGCTATCTGAACGTTGTCTTGGTGGATGTAGTGGCTTGAATGTTGCAAGAATTCTGTGATCGATCGCGATGTCTAAACATACCCGAGACGACGGCTCTCGAACCCCGATCGTAGCATGCTCCATTTGATGTTATAATATTTGCAAAATATTGACTTCAGCTTTTTTCTACAAGCTTCAGTTCTTTCATTTAGGACTTCAAGTTGAGGCGCATTGACCAGGTGCGAGCAGGGATAAGGGCATAGTACCCCCCTTTCCCCCGCACAACTTCAGCAGAATTATGTGACGGTCATAGTGGTGCATAGCCAAGAATAGACAACCCCGCTTCCTGTGACACAGTAATCACCTTGCATGATCAGGCTCACCTGGAGATCAGGTCAGCCTTCATAAGCGATATGATAGGCAATAAATTCGCTCTCTGGTACTAGACGAGACAGGGTCGCAATTGGCGCCTCACTTCTCATTCCGGCAACAAGCAACACATCGAAGGCTACGGCACTGTGTACCACATCCAGAAAATGCTCCTGTGGCAAGATTGGTCGTTGTCGCACCTGCTCCAGGTAGAACGCCGTCAAAACTCGTCGATGTTGCTCTTTGAAGGAACGCTCTTCACGCAAGCGGTGCAGATCATTCGCAGTAGCCGCTGTGTACTCTCGTTTGGTAGCATCGCTAATACTGACAATACTGATAATACCAACTGCACGCGCCAGAACATCTTCGCTGGTTGATATAGAAAGAACAGAAGCCCAGAAGTCCGCACAGTAGTTTTTGCCAGCGCAGACTATTGCACTAACTAGCCCCACCACTTCGTGCGCGCGCGGCCTCACCAAAACTACCTCAAAAATGAGGCTGTAGAGTCACACTAAAAGGATATTATGACGATGTATTTTAGAGGTGAGGTTAACAGGCCTTGATATATATATATATAGCTATAGGAATCGAGATGGAGTTCTAATCGCGCGGCCACGACGCGAGGTTGGAGGTGGTGATCCTGCAGCACCTCCCTGAAGCTCCTCACCACCTTGAGGCATCGCGATAGGCCTCTTTTTTTTTTGAGTAGCCTTTGCAGAAGCCTTGAAGCTCCTCCTCCTACCCCTTTGGGAAGTTTTGATAGCTTTTTGAAGTTGTTTTGCAGCCCTGCGAGCCGCGATTCTTGAGGCCTTTTCAACAGCCTTTTCCTCCCTCTCCTTCTGCCTCATTAGGCTCACTGCAAGCCTCGCCTGACGCCTCTGCTCCTTCTCCCTCGCCCTCGCCTGCCTTGCCTCCTCACGTTGCCTCCTCGTATCAGCTTTTTGGAGTTGCAGCTGCTCCTCCTCCTCCTGGAGTTGCAGGCGATCGCGCGCCTCCTTCACCTTCCTTGGAGACCAGAATACAGCTCCACCATGATACTCCTCAGCCTCCTGCAGGGGTAGAGGCTTACCTCGTTTCCTGCGTGTTCTCTCATTGACTAGAGCCTCCCTCGGCTTCCTAACTTCATCGAGACTATTTTGAAAAGAACTTGAGTGAAGGACCTGGCTGAGCCTTTTGACCTGCCTATCGCCCTGATCAGCGACTACCTGACGCAGCAGACGCTCTATCTTCCTCTAATCAGAGGCACTAAGAGCTGAGGAGTCACTGTCCGTCGCAAGATCAGGTACAGTAAAGCGCTGAAGGATAACTTCTGGGTTAAGAGGCGAGATCCCTGTAGCCTTGAAGGCGTTCAGGATCGTCGTTTCCTTGAAGGAGGCCTGCCAGGCTGAGTAGAAGAGGGGGAAGAAATCCCTCTTACTCATTGAGGTGAGGCCTTGACTCCTATCCATGAAGGCAGAAGCCTTGTTCGAGTACGCTATTGAGAGAGGCTTGAACATGCTAACGTCAAGAGGCTGCAGCGTGTGGGTTGAGTGAGGAGGATAGACTGCGAGGAGGATCTTATTTTAATCACAATAATTGATAAAATCCATTGTAAGGTAAGATCCATGGCCGTCAAGGACAAGTAATCGGTAGGAGGAGCGTGCCTTTGCCCTTGTACTGCGATCAAACACCTGCTGCAGTCACGCGAGGCCTATCTCATTGTTCGTCTAGCCAGAAGGTAATGAGGACACTCGGATCTGATGTGTATCTGGATCAAGGGCCTGCAGCCAGGTGTCCTGTATAGACCCTGAGGCTGACTGGTAGATCAAGGCAGGCTCGAGGTAAGATCCATCAGCGCAGATACAGGCCAGCAGCGTTATCCACTCGCGGGAGCCACCCTGTATAGTACTCCTCCTTCTTCCATCCTCGTACGAGGCCCTATCAAAGATCCTCCTTGAGCGACTCACTACACCAAGCATGAAGCCCTTCTCATCCATATTTTAGATATGACGCGCCTCGACGTGATATTGATCGATTTTATCGCGTAGGAGGTTAAAGTAGAGGCTATACTTACTCCTAGAGTCAGCTTTGTGGCGACAGTTATCCATGCCTACTGCCCACTTTGAGATAAGCTGATCAGGATAGCGCTGAACAAAGCGACTAACCCAGTGTACTCTAACCTCTGTCTTGGCGATCTGCGACGCGAAATTGCGTATCATTGACTGAGTAGGTGGTAAGCCTCTGTCTGTCAATTGATTGATATAGGCGATTAGGGCCTGCTCCTGGTGTAGGTGAAGGAGTTTTAGCTTTTGACAGCCTTCAGCGAGGCGCGGTGACCTCGGTGTCTTTGACTAAGCGTGGATCGATTGACACCAAACCTTTTTGCAATTTCAGTATATGTAAAGGGCTCTCCAGGCTCTAGGGCATTCATAGCTGCAATCGCAGCCTCGATATTAGCCATGGTGGTGGAGATATAAGGCGTTGAATTTATGGTGGTTGCCAGGCCGCGCGTTCGCGAGGTGGTGGGGCACGGTATTATTGCAGACTTGGCACATGCAGCGACTACAAAGGAGCAATGCATCGGTCTATGATACCTCCTTGTTTTTCCATATCCTGCTACTGCTGAGGCTGCCAAGCCATCAGTAAATTACGCTCTTCCTAAAAGTCCCCTCCCTGATTGGTGTTGGTCCGCTACAGTTGACCGTCCCGACCTCGTAACGGCTTTCTTGCACGCGGCTGTTGAACTTTCGAAGCTTCCGAATGCCAGACAAAGCCGAACTCAAACGTCGAAGAGCACAATCCCAGAGAGACAAAGCCAGGAACCGGCGTGAGAAAGAGGAAGGGATAAGCAGAATAGCGCAGGCAGTTCAGCAGCAGTTAGCTCTTAATCGGCAACCGAGCTTGCCGGCAACTATACCAGAAGGGCACACGTCTCCCATATCACTTATTGTCACAATGGAAAAACGTTCGACTGAGTTGATGAAGAACATCGCCAGGTATTGACCTTTTGGACTTACGCTATCTCACCTAACTGCTACAGAATGTTCAACGACACAAGATACTCCGATGCTACCGTCGTCATCTATGGCAAAAACCTACCTATTCACAAATCTGTTGTCTGCACACAAAGCAGATACCTCGAGAAGGCGTTTCAGGACTCGTTCGTTGAGGGAAGCTTAGGAGTGCTCACGTTCAACAATGGTAGTGAAGCCGCCCACTGGAGGGTATTTGAGTATTTGTACACAGGCGACTATCCGGACGATCTATTATACGATATCGAAGGTATGGTGCAAAGTAAACTTATGCTCTTGGTTTTCTAATTCCTACCAGATGACCCTGCGCTGCTCAAAGAGCCTCGTGTATACGCCCTTGCCGGCATGTTCTTCTTAGAAGACTTGAAAGCGGTCGCCATAGCAAAACTTCAGCAAAAGTTACAGGATCTCTGGACGAGCGACTCCTTTCCAGAATGCATTCGAGAAATATATGCGACAACTCCTGAGAACGATCTTAGGATGCGATCTGCTGTAGTAGAGATAGCAAAGGCTCATATTGGAGAACTAGGTAGTAAGGACATATTCAAGGATCTCATCCGCGAGGGTGGCGAATTCGCCGTTCAGTGTTTTGAGAGCGTTGTTTTTCTACCGCCTTGCGCGACCTTCTCTACCCTTCATTCAAGAAGCGGTTTGTTTGGTGGTCCGTCTAGAGGTTCCGCTACTTTTGGGGGTTTTTAAAAACACAATCACATGGCATTTCCTTCCTTGCAAACTTTCTTGCTTGGAGCTAAGCAAGCAATTCAGCTAACACAGGGTCGGGTTAATTAGCTTGATGGTTGGATCATGTGGTTCATAAAAGCGGAAACCCTACACGGAGCACTAGTTGTATGTGGCGGAGGGAATCTGAGATTTTGTGACAAGTCAAGCAGTTGTCGGGGGCATGGAAACTTTGGTAGCAATTCTGCCAGCTAATTGACTCGCCATTGCCCGATAGCCTTGATTTAAGCAAATGAGACGACGCAGATAATGAAACAACAAACCTCTCAAACTCAGAGCTATAATTATATCTGTACCCATCCGTGCGACGGATTTCTATGGAGCAGCGTTTTGGAATTCAGTCGTCATCGGTGCTAACGTTACAGTTTTATCTTCTCCAATCTGCGCTTCGCCAGTTCGTGTTGCACAAGCCAAGTCTCAGAGCGGGATGTAACCAAAATTAGATCTGAGTTTCACTTTACAATTACTCCGCCAGCGCAGCGTGGGGCGGAAAGTTTGAGGGCAGGCTGGAGTTGACTGCGCCGCCCAAAGAACCAGGCTGACACGGTGACGGAAATAAACTTGTTGGATATGACTGTGTTTAGACCCCCCTATGAAGTATCAGATGACAGGGTAAGTAGCGCCTTAGGAATATCTTTCAAGCTCTCTATGTCGACAAGACTGGGTGGGGGATAGTCCATGTCTTGACCTTGGTAGGAGGCTGCAAGTGCTGCCAAACTTGGCGCGACGACATTGCTGAGTGTCCTCAAGAGTTGCCCTTGTTTTTCTTCTAACAACGTGGTGAATTCAGCAAGGTCGTTCGGTTTAATGTCAAGGAGCCTATTCTGGTCAGCCAGATTGGCAGTGCTGTGAAACATAGCGCACTCATATTTGATCTGTTAAAGAGAAGCTATAGAAGGACGGTCCGGAAGGTAAGAGGGCCAACACGCCTATTCCAAAGGGCTTCGTCAGTATCTTCATTGGTTTCCCTAATTGTCGAAAACGTTTCAATTAATTGTTCTTGATGTCGGTGGCCTCAAATACAAAACACAAAAGATCACACTTGGAGCTTCTCCGTATTTTCGCAACCTCTTGACCCGATGGGAGAATTGCAGCGATAAGCAGGAGGACAACTCGTACTTTGTTGACGCAGACCCCGATACGTTTCAGTATGTCTTGGATTTCAGGCGACGTCCGTCAAGATACCCTCTGTACTGGACAAAAGAGACAGGTTTTGACTACGCACTCTACAACAAACTCGAAGCAGAAGCCGATTACTTCCTTCTCCATGACCTGCGCAACTGACTGCAAAAGAAACGCTATCTTGACGCCATCAAAACCGTCGTCGAGGTAAAGGTATTGCCAGAGCATGAAACTGAAGATCGCTAGAATCAGAAAGGATACGAAGTCAACGACGTTCAGAGCTTCTTTGGTTCATACTCAGGGGAAAAGCGCTATCGCAGCCCGTGTGAAATTCATACGGAAAGCGACCACCCTATACGAGGTTGTGGCTCTTGTGCAGTGCTCATTCAGGCTCATGGACCACAATATGATGACCGACCAAAGAAACTCACCCTTGTGATTACAAGAGTGGTGTTTGATGAGGCGGTCTGTGTGAATGAAACAATCTCTTGAGAGCTCCTACGCATGGTATTAGGAGTCTCAGGAATTTTGTAACAGTTATGGTGGCCGTCATTACTATCTAGCGTACTGGATAGTTAGTTCTCTTGTTCTATTAGCTTAATTTTGGAGTGCTAAGTGGGAGTGCAGTGGGGTGTTATTTATCCCATTGTTTTAGTCTCCGAGAATGCCAGCTAGCATTTTCCTTCCGCCCTGCAATGGTCCCTCACACAACCTAATCGATCGAGATACTGTGTGCATCCAATAAGTTACGGCACTACCGACCTGGTTCATCAAACTAGGCTCTCTGAGATCAACAAGAATGATCTCGCTGAATTTGCCACATTGTTAGAAAAAAAAGCAAGCGCCACTTTGAAGAAACTCAGCAATGCCATCGCACCAACTCTGTCAGCACTTGCAGCCTTCTACCAAGGTCACAATATGGATCTCACATTCAGTCTTGTACACATTGAAGAATATTCCCAAGGCGTTGCTTACCCTGTCGCCTGGAGGGATGAGTACCAGTGGAGCTGTAATGGTGGCCATGCTTGGCAACACTCTACACTATCTACAGTTGCATCTAGCACTCTTTCTCTTCAGCTAGATCTACAAATCATTGCCTCCAGCGCAAAAATGTAGCCGATGTGTGTCGGCTATCCTTCCTGCTAGTGGTGGCGATATATGGCGCTGAATCACCTTCATTACTATACCATTCTGCGTAGCCATGCTTACACATTCAAAGCAGCATCAAACACGTATCTCTATACTCCATTTGCCACTCGTTCAATGTTTCAAGGGAATACTCCGTGTCAGGATTACTAGAGCCAAGAACCCGTGTTAAGAGTACGTCCTGAGTGGAAGCAATATAAGACTTCTGGTGTCAAGACTTCTTGGGTTGATTTTCGCGGACGAGGCAACAGGGTGCACTGAACAGTTTCGTATCGTATGCAAGTAACTATTGTATTGTAGGTACTTGTACTCGTAACTTAAGTTGAACACAATGAGCCATAGGGGCCCATTGCCTATTCCTATATACTGAGGGAATGTCCTATGTCCTACATCGTCCTATGTGATTCTAGGGTGTCCCATGCGTGGTACTTTGTGGGATTATATGGGATCCGTGGGACACACGTGATATGTCCCATGGTGGCGTTCCGCCAAGCCTGTGGGAGGCATGATTACTCATACGTCATTGGCTGGGTGTGTCCCTCTCCTTCAAAGAGGTCTTGACATGGGCTGCTTCCTTCATTCTTCCATATCTTGCGCTGTCCCCTCTGTTCAGGTTCGTAACAACCCGTTCCTGCAACTGAAAGCCCATGTTTTGATCAGAGAAATAGCTTCCTTGTTGCGGGACTTGAACTTAACAGCAAGGTTAGCCATGCTAAGCACTGTCGAGCTTGTCTCCATCACTTGCTCTTCTAGCTCTTTGGCCTCTTTCCACCGCCCTTGGTCACTGTACGTCACCGCTAGGTTGACCATTAGTATTACTAATATTAGGGTTGGGCCTCAATGTAACAGCGCACGCTAAGCCATGGAATAACCCCGCCTTTGCTCAGCTGCTCCTACACTATCGTTTCTCTCACCTCCGCCTCCCCACCACTACCAGTCACACTTCTATCAATCCCCATAAACCGCCATTTTCAATGTCGAGAACACCGCTCCTGCCCTCCTACGACTCCGCGACGCAGCGTGCGCCCTACGAGAGGGGGGAAGCCTTGGCACATCTCGGAGCAGAATTTCGAAGCCGAACAACCCTAGATGTGCTCTGTATGATAGTATTCCCAGGGACTGCTATCACAGCTACCGTGTGGGCCACTCGTAGTGGGACAGCCGCGCCTAAGGTAAGCTAAATAACCAGCTTGCACTGGCGTTTAGATCTAATATCCTTCTAGGTACCGCTTGACACAGTCCCTACACTCCCCTACTTCGCCTCTCTTTTCCTTGTTCTCTCATTCAGCCTCTGGGCTGGTTATCTGATATCAGTCGCATATGATGTGGCCCGTGTTCCGCGTTTGCTGCGCCAGATCGTGGTTGGGGTGTCTAGTGGAGGGAAGCTAGCGCTAGCGGGAGTGCATGGGCTTATTTGGGTGGGGTATAGGCAGTTCTTTGCGGAGTGGCGACAGCCAAATTGGGTTATTGTGTTTCTGGCGGTGCAGTCTTGGTGGGATGTCTTGCTTTTCGTGGTTTATTGGTATTTGTTAAGTTAGGGGTTACAGGAGGTTAGGTATTGTCGGCCCGTGTTCGACTTCGTTAAAGGGACAAGTTCGTGTAACTACTCGGCCCCGACGGTTACTCCGTAAAATCTCAAGAGATTGGCCGTGCTTCGTACGGCACGCCCACCCCAAGGGAAATATTCACCCTAAGAGCAACACCAAAAAGCCTGATTTCCACGTATTGCCTAGCTACCCTACGCTTATATTTCTGTCAGACTGTTAGGGTTTCTGATCAAGGATTGATTTAGATCACTGTGATAAAAGACTGTGATAAACTTGATGATAGAAATTGATTGTGTTGATCGCTGTCCTTTCTCCAGCGGCGCGCAGGCACGCCGCCTTATGAGCTCTGTCGCTATTGCTTTTTGCATCAGGTAGACGGCTGAGTATCAGCCTCGCCTAGGGATGGGTCTTGGCGATCAGCCCTGATTGGCTGGGATCACAGAATCCAGGTGATCGAGTTTCCACCCGGATTCTGCCACTTATCTGACAATTTCAATCTCTTAGATACGTTTCTGTATAGAGATTCATAATAAGATCTTGGTTTAGTAGTTAAGAAAAATTAAAATAAAGAAGGTTGATTTTTTTTAAGGTGTGCGCTAAACTTTGATTTTGGTGAGGATTGCCCTTGGGGTGGGTATTTCCCCTGGGGTGGGCGGGCCGTACGAAGCACGGCCAATCTCTTGAAATTTCTGGAACAAACCATTGGGCCCGAGTATAGCTAACTAGACCCCTAGCCAATCAAGACATATGTTACGTTGTGCACCCAGGAAACTGTGTCACTTGATCTTGTGCATATGACCATTTGGAAAGCGTAAGCTGCTTATTGATAAGCATTCGCGCCACTGCTGCATAGTTCGTATGATGCACAGAGCCGACGGATCTTTAAAGTTGTTACTATCGCCAAGTAGTCTCGTCAAAGCCAATCTAGCTTGTAGATAGCTGGTAGTAGGTCAGGTAAATTTGAAGCGGCGTCGTGGCGCTCTGGTTGACTTGGCAACAAGTCATCCTGCAGCGGCTGCAAAGGACCAATGCATTGGTCTATGATACCTCCTTGTTTTTGCAACATCCTGCCACCGCTGAGGATGCCAAGCCATCAGTAAATTGCACTCTTCTTAAAAGTTCCCTCCCCGATTGGTGTTGGTGCGCTACAGTCAACAGTCCCGACCTTGCAACGACTTTCTTACATAAGGATGTGCTAGCTATGCATACAGTAGCTATCGGTATTGAACGTTGCTAACTATTTTCATATCTGATGGGTGTGCTGCGGGCAACGATGACTCGCTCTAAGTATGTGGAGCGGGATAACGACGCTGCATAAGAGCACCATAGCTTATGGTCAGCTGTTGTTGTTCGCGTCAGGTAATCACCTTAACCTGCGACACAATTATCGCTTTTTACACAGCCAGTCTGATCAAATCTATGCATCACTTTGGTTTGTACACATATGTACACCATAGCGCAGACAGGAGTAGGCTGGGGTGTGTACTACAAGCAGCTGTACAGGTGAGCATCAAAGGTCTATAGGCTTCCCATGATCCGCGCATGTGTCAAATCTGCAATAGTTGTTCTCCACTGGCGCATTGCATTCCGAAGTTGATGTACCACAGCCTTCCAAAAAAGGGCCAATGCAGCAGCTAGTGGCGCTACAGTAACTAGTGTGCTTGGTGAGTCAAGCGAGAGGTGCATGAGCTTAGCCGCGAAGATGGACAGTCGATGCTCGTAACAGTAGGAGAGAGGCTTGCACTACAGCTGTCAGACTGTGAGGGTTTTTCTAATCAAGGACACGTTGTACTGTGAAAAAGGACTGTGATAATTGATGGTGGAAATTGATGGTATTGATTGATCTGATCTTGTTCAGCGGCGCGCCTGCGCGCCGCCTTATGAGCGCTGTCGCTGTGACACCGGGAGTATGAGGTGTGGCTCATATCGGCCCTACCTAGGGTGCGCGTGGCGCTTGGCTCTGATTGGCTGGAATCATAGAATCCGGGTGCTCGATCACACCTGAATTCTGTCACTTATCTGACAACAGCACGACTAGGCTGGCAAACGGGTCTCCACCCTCGGGTAGCTTTTTCCACGATAGTTATCTCCACAGATACTTACGTAATCAAGTTACTTTAACTAATACAGAATATGCGTATATGCTTCGATATTTCTGGCATTCTGGCTCAGCTGGATGAAGATGGCAAGATCTCGCGAAGCAAGAACTTCAAAACCCCGCCTGCATAGGCAGATTCTTTCGGAAAATACTTCCCACTTTCAATAGTATACTCACTCAACTCTTCGAGGGAAGCAAAGAGCTCGACTCCATCTCGCGAGGTATCCACCAGATCTACAAGATTGACATGGATCGTCTTGATTTTCTATCCGCTCTTAGATGAAGCGTTCTTCTGAATGACTGTCACGATCTTACCTCCTTGCAATCGTGGATAGTTTCGGGCAATGGCTCGATGTAGAGGGCTATGCAAAGCTTGTGCCAATTCTCAATATTGGCGACGTCGGTACCGTACAAGCTGTTGAATTGGATGACCATCGCGTCTTTGAATCCTCGACGAGCTTCTTCGCGTTCTACATCATCTTTATCCCAAGCAAAGAAGTCGCACATGCGATAAAACTCTTCCGCCACATCTCTCTTAGGGTCGTAAGGGAAGTTTGGATACTTCGTGAAGAAAGCCGAGATTGCGTCCGAATCCTGCTTTGTTCCGTGTTGATGGCGTTGGGGGAGACGTGGTTTCTTCTAGTACATTTCAGCATGAAGAACCGCAAATGCATTCATCCGTTCGGATCGCCTACTCCTTTGCTTGATCCATATCGTGAGCCGAGAGGGTGGAGAAACTTGCAATTTGTACCATAAGTGCAGTAACCCTTGTCTTGGAACTGATAGCATACAATTCGAGTGCTCTTACGCATGTTGCAGTTGGTGTTTAGGATGAATCACATAGAAAATCTCATTCTTGAAGAAAGGATGATGAGTGAAACAACGTTCGTAGAAACTCGATCCTTCTTCGTTTCGTGTGGAAACAGAAGCAAATATTGACGAGAACCCCGCACAATGCCTCGTCACTATTTGGGAGCTGCCATGCAGCTAAGAGCGAGGAATTGTAAAGCTCATGCCTCATCGTGCCACGTGCATACTAAACGCTGTGCCATTGTATACCTTCATGACTGGGATATAAATATTGCATTGCTGACGTTCAAATTAAAACGTCATCTATGTTAAAAAGGGTACGCCGCTGAAGAGGTTAACAGAGATGTTGTCCTGGTTTACTGATTGCGAACGTAGATCACCCTTGCGGCAAGAAATATACACGATCCTACACCAATAAGAGACCGTGTCTTCCTTTGGCCGGACACGATTCATGTGCTGTTACGTCCTATCTTCATTGAGGCCTTCAGCGCTGTTATTGGCTGTCGATCTCGGCGCACACACAGGGCATGTCTCGTTAAACGCCGTTGCCACATCATCTATTCTACAGCATTTCCTTGAGCTTACGCATCATATGCACATCGGAACGCCTGACTGTGCCGCCTACAAGCGATCAGCTGCCAGCACACTGACTGGTAATTCCAATCGACAAAGAAATAACTAGGGATTTTGCCCATCGATCATGACCACGAAAAAAGCACCGCTGCATGTACAGTCGCTACAGTAGGGGATATGGCTCCATCTCTAATCGTGACTGCATCACGGTTTTGCTAAGCCCTACCTCCCGTACGTGACTTGGCGGTAGATATCGATCGTCCCGCAATCGTTGTGATTGACCAGTTTACAAAGAAACGCAGAACGGACCCTGATGATACTGCCTGCAAGGGTGAAGTCACCATCGTTACAGACTGTATATGCAGTGCGGTATTGCCGCATCAATACCTTTTCGCACCACTCCTGAAAGAGTACAGTCGCTACTTAAGTCGGCATCCACCTACGCCATACCAGTGCGACCCAAGAATTTCCCCGCCTTGCCAACATATCTTTTGCGTTATTTTATCAGTACACCAAATTACGTGCGGATGGAATTTACAAAGAGATGAACCTAACATCCACATCATGACTCACAAGCTTCTGTAGCTTTTCGCGAAAAGAATGACCGTCCTTGCTGCCCTCTTCTGCTGAATCTGTGATAATTGAGACTAGAAGCTGGATTGGATGGATACCCTACCTCATTAAGCAAATAGCTAGTCACGTAATGTCACATGACCTGAATGTGGGATCTAAAGGACAACCCTCGGGCCCTCATCGGGTATCTTTCGGGCCAGTAAGACTGAGGACCTGCATAGTATAAAAGCTCCCATGTAATTCTTGGGATAGAACCTGAGAATTTGTCTGAATACTATTCTGATATTCTTGCTCTTACCTACCAAACCTCTCACAGTTTCGAGGCGCCGGCCTAGTTCCACACGATCTAGAGGTGGTAATATCGAACCTTGACACCAAGCTGCGGACGCCAACACCACCTGCTGCAGAAGACCTGCCCATCATAAACGTTACCAAATTTAATAACTTTGGTTGACTAATATAACTAGTTAGCTATAACTGCAGAACAAGAGGATATTGGAGAGCGAGGCAAACACCTTACGCGTACATGTATGGGTGCGCACGTGTATTCAAGATAGAGTAAAGGGGTTAGATAGACGCTAAATTAGGAAAAGTCGTGAGAGACAGCGAGATGGATTTGCAAGGGTAAACCGCGCTATTAGACCATAGTCCCCAAAGAGACTGTGATTCCTTTGGCATGATGTGTAACTAACTGGAAGCTCTAAAAACGTTTGCCACTCGCTACTTACTATCTAGAGCTCTAGGATCCTCGGAAGACTTCCAGCCTAATTCTACCCGTCACCAGCGTCCAGGCCCATATCCCATCAACAAGCAAGATATCAAAAAAACTGAACACCAAACTGCCTCCGAAGACAAGACTATGGTACGTCCACGCGTCACCCACATTTAGATGCGCAACTTGGCATACGATTGCCCACGGCAACACGTACAAGAGGTTCGACGCCAACGACTGATATAGATACCAGCGTGGGCGCGTCGCGAGGAGGATGGTAGCGAGCTGTGTCGATGCTGCATAGAAAATATAACACCAGTCGATCGTCCGCCACATACGCGCAGTGATCTTCGCGACAGCGTCGGAGTTACTGAGGTATCGCGCGAAAGGGCGGGTGCCGAAGAAAGAGAGGAAGATACAAAGCGGGACCTCAATAGCGAGTGCGATGAGCAGTGATATGAGGGCCGGTCGGATTATTTGGAAGATAGTCCGCCGGTCGGCTTTTGCGCGGTGCATGTCGATTCCGATGCTCCGCCGCCATCGACCCCAGTTGTGACCGATGAATGCTAAGGAGGTTGCTTCGAATGCCTGCACAGGAACCATGATGAGACCCCATCTGATGGTGTTGAAGATGCCCCAGGCGGTGGCATACTCGGAACCCATAGCTACGATGCCGCTCACCAGCCATAGATACAAAGCATTGCGGATGGCGGATTCAGTAAAGGTAATTATCCCGGGTCGAGCTAGGACCTTGAGCGCTCGCAGGCTTGGGAGAATATTTTCATGGGGGCGATAGTGCTCGATTGCTGCAAGTGCCCGAAAACTGGTGATGTAGATGAAGTAACACAAACCTACGAAGGCTGCACTTAGGTTGCAGGCTAGTTGAATTCCTGCCTGCATGTTGACAGACGGCTTGAAGCTTCCAACATGGAAGCGAGAGATGATCAGAAGGTCAAGCAGGATATTAATAGCGAACTTAACCGAACTAATGATCATCGGGACATTTGGTTTATCAAGGGCTCTCGTGGAAGTGGAGACGGCCACCTCGATTGCAGAGCTGAGCGCAGAGAAGGCACTGATATGGACGTAAGTTAAGCTTGCGGCCCGCACCTCTACGGGCACGAAACCTTTTGCAAAGGTGGAGGCTGCGGACATAAACGCTATGCTCATGATTAAGCCAAGGATTGATTGAAAGAGGATTAGCGTGTGAGTTAGCTTGAGTCGTTGAGGCAGTGAGCGTGAGGCTTTGTCGCCGATGATGACCCAAGCTGCTCGGGGAAGACCTTTATTCAAAACCTCTGCTACAACGCCGATGTAGGTGTACACGTCTGTGGTGACGACGAGCGAGGAGTCAATATTGGCTACCCAGAGCTTTGGGAGGGTGCTGTAGAGGACTGGGAGAATAAAGGTGGCGAAATTGAAGATGAGCGCGCCGAGATATCTAAAGCCATTGTATCAGTCCTGAAGGGCCCGCTATAGCGGGAACAGAAATTGTACAGACCGCGAGACGAGCGACATTTCCGGCTTGCAGATGTATCATGAGTTTCAGTCCCGTGGTCGACGGATATTGATCGGTTCAATACCCGCTCGTTAGATCCAGAGACCTCGAGGGAGGCGTCACCTTTGGGCAACATCCTGTAGCGACACTGCGACCGTGAAGCAGATGCTGCTATCGTCTTTTTAAAGGGTCCCAATAAGTCCATTGGGTTCATAGAGATAGGCTTTTGTTGAGCGGGGAACCCTTCCCGTCTCCCAGGGTTGAGTATGCATCGATGTCTGGTTAGAAAAGTGGATGCTGAGGCGCCACTTAGCTCGCTTGCAGGGCATGCACGCCACCTCTGGATTACTATGTCACAACTAACAGGAAGTGTTCCTTCTTTAACGAGGCAGGAAAGGCCAACCAACAGCCACGTCAGAAGGCAATGATCATCGCGGGGCGACGACCACGTGATGTGACGCCCCGCCAAGACTAACCATTCAAGGGATGGTAGGAGGTCTAGGGATGGCGGACCATCACAACCATCACTGGCCTCCTAGGGAAGTGAAATATCGATAGGATATATGACTATGAGCAATCTGTATAAAGGGTGGATGGATTTTATTACTGCACTTGTTGTGATTTACTCTGATAGTACTTTCTCACAAGCTCATTCCTTAACAAGATTGTCGCTAGATTGGATTATCTCAACCCTCGCTTGACTCCTATTACTCATTTCCACCGCATCGCCAGAATATTGCGCGGGTCGCTAACGTAAAATTTACCTGCCTTAGTACGGATCAGGATAGAGAAGTATAGCCCAAACCCGCGTGACAACTACGATTTAGAAGGCACAGTAGACCCTGTCTGGCTCCACTGGAGGCACCATCACTCGGTGTTGTGAATTGGGCACCTGTCGAAAGCATAAACTCAATTAGTAATACCACCTGTGATTAACTAGTTAGAGCCCTTTGCCTCTCTTATTCTTGTCTACGATCTCGGTTCTCCTGCCTGCCCTACCCGATAGTTGCTTGAGCAACTAGCCGTTCGGGTCAACTCGGGGTTAAGCCCAAATAAGCGCAAACCCAAGTCAGCATGTGCCATAGTTATCCATGAACACCAACTCTCCACTGAACCTCATCTTGTAACTCACGCAATATATATTACAGCATGACGAAAAGTAGTGCCTTAGATGCGCGCGAATTAACTGCACTGTACAATTGAGTTGCAGCAGCTTTTCATGCTTGAGGATAAGGAGAAGGGTTTACTCCAAGCTTTAGGGGATAATGTCTATCCCCGCGGACCAAGAACACGGGCCACAAAAATGGAACAAAGGTTTGTTCTTATAGAATAAATGTCAGGGCAAGCCATCGTCGGCAGCCCTCATTGGATCTCTAGAAGCTGGAGGAGCAAGCCAACAGGCACTATTGTCATCGCTTTTAGATCAGAAGCAGAAGCAAAGAAAATTGGCAGCAGGATTACAATCCTTGGCCAATCTCTCCCAGTAGAGAAATACCGCCAAACACCACTAACTGCCCAATGCAGTAAGTGCCAAGGATTTGGACACAACTCCAGCAGGTGTAAAAACCTAGCTAGCTGCCAGTTTTGCGCTGAAAGCCACCTAACAGCCCAGCACTTCTGCAGCATCTGCAAAACCAAAGGGAAGGCCTGCAACCACACCCTACCAAAATGCAAAAACTGCAAACAAACCCACTTTGCTAATAGCAAAGACTGCGAGGTGCTTCTATCTATCAAAGCGTAATGATAGAAAACCTTAGAGTACTACAAGTAAACCTTAACAAAAACCCACGTACGACAGAATCAACGCTACAGCTAGCAATTGAG